AATATGTGCAAAGTGTCTTAGCATTCTTCAGCGACTGTTACCTTCACCCACCCTACTTCCTCTCCCTCATTTCATTAACTCATTTATTTGCCAAATCCACCAGCAGTTTCACTTGCTGCAGGACATTTTCTGCCTTAAAACCCGACACTGGCCCAAGAACACCAGCATAAATTAATCCTGTAAAAATGTAGGTTGGAATTACAAACGTTTCTTGCCAAAAGGAAAGAAGTTCTGACCAGGTCTCAGCCATTTCTGACAAGGATTATATTCACTGCCCATGCCAGCAGTCCTTCACTGCTGTCCCCGACGCGCTACTGCACATAGTCAGTCTCCAAAAGACTCCTTGGACTTTTTGTTTCTCTGCCAGCTGTGGTGCAGACAGTCTTTGTCCAGGAACTGAGAGAACAAACTCATTCCAGCAGGCATCCACTAGAATTTGTACTCTCTTGGATTTGTGTATTTGAACTGATAATAGGTTTAAGAAAAAGAAGAAAAAGGAAGGAGTGGAAACTGTTCCTGATTGAGATCTTGCAGCAGGAAAATTAGAAGTAACTCCACAGAATCTATTGGCACAAACCCCCATAGCTCTGCATATTTAAGGTGCTAATAATGGTATTTCAGACAATGTTACCATCTGTAATTTAAAAGACAGACATTACTCTGAGAAGGGATGTGTGAACATAACGTTAATACGGTGTTACAGATATTGCCCCGATCCTGCTTACTGTGCTGCTCATGTACTGAATTTGGTGAGAGTGGCTGTTATTTCTAGAAAAAGTCAGGAAACACTGTCAGAATAATTTCCCCAATTGTGAACTTCTCTCACACCCATTAATTTTCTCCCTCCAGCTGTATAATTTTAGGTCCTTGGGTCCATTCCTGTACAACATCAGTCACCTCAATTGCCATTGACTTCAAGTTATTCCTTTTAGACACAGCAAGAAGATACAGGTGACAATGCACAGCTTCTGGTTTGAGCTGTTTATGTAACTATTTAAAAAGCTTACTCTTACAGCAAGAACTTCATAGATCACGCAGCACATTGCTTAACATTTCCTTCTATTCATTGAATCTCTCTGGCATCATAGTTGTTTTTTCTTTGGAAATCATTAAGGCTTGATTTCAGCAGGGATACGCATCTATTTCTGTAAAGCTCCCAAGTGAACATCGCACACCAGCTTCCAGAGCTTTTATGTTGATCCTGAAAATTGAAGGCCTCAGGTAATCATCAAATCCACTAGTTTAAAACATTACTACCTCACTCTTGAATCATGAGAAATGCTATAAAACATATACAAGCTGGAGAACAAACAAGGCAACTGAGAAGCAAACAACTGTCAAAAGTTATTCTGGTGGTCAAGAAACCATTTTCTTATACTTTATGTAATTATTTTAAAAGCTTACGCATTCTTTCCCTTGGTGTTTCTGCCTGCAATTTTAAGGGCTTTTACACTTAATGTGTTGCTTCAACAGACAAGTTAAATTGGCCAACTGAGTGAAGAGCATCACCTACTCTTCAGGTGTAGGAGATCATAAAGATGAGATAAATTATGGGATAAAAAAGTGGGGGAGAGACAAACATTGTGGCTTGCGGTGTTCTGGACTGGTATTATTGCCATTAACAGCAATGACAAAAATGCATCTGAATATCTTGAGTTTTCTATTACTTTTAAGTAAATGTTTTCTGGAGAGACAGACTGAATTTAAAACCTGTTTTTCTTAAGATTAAAAAGAAAATCCAGAGAAAACGGCATTCAGTCAGACATTATATTTTCCAGATTTTAGCACAATGGCCCAGCAGTAATACCTTTTTCAGCATTGGACACCAGATACCAGCATCCCCAAACGTGAGGTAACTGCCATTCCTGTGTATTTGCACACACACACACACACAGAGGCAGCACAGGTGAACAGCCGCTCTCCCATGTTGTTTTCGGAGGCAACCAACAGCTTGAACGTCTTTCTAAAATGAGAGCAAACGAGGAGAGTTCTTCCATCTCTACACGGTGCTTGCAGAGGGAGGGAGAGGGCAGGAGCAAGGAAGAAGTCCCGCAGGTCGCCAGAGCAGCGCATCCCCACCGACTCCTCTGTGCCGCGTACAGGACATCTTGTGCAGGATACGGGCCGTGGCTCAGAGCAAGCAAGCGGCAGACCTCACAGAGTAAATAGTCTTCGGCTCTTGGATATTAAACTATCCCCATTTCAATAGGGGGAAGGGACCACAGTCTAAGCCTTTATGGGAAGGATGTCTTCCAGTAGGGCCTCCCAGCCGCCTTGCAGCGCTGAAGCCCCAGAGGTGCCCGGGGACCGCGGGCTCCTCCAGCCGGCCGGCACTGATGCTGGAGAAGGCCGCGGCGCTACCTCGGGCCCGCGGGGCAGCGAGAGCCACACTGCTGATGCCCAAAACATGAGCGGGGGTGGTGGCAGGGACACCCGAGCAGCACACGCTGGTGAGGCCAGGACCATGGCGTGGAGGGGGGAAGTGGGGAGAGGCACCGCTCTCTTCTTGAGACGTGGCAGAGGCAAGATCCCCACCCCGCCAGCCAGAGCAGCAGCCTGTGCTACTGCTGTTGCTTTCTCCACATGTATAATTTGCACAATTACAGGAGAGAGGACCCCCCTTCTAGCCCTTCATCTCTAGATGAAAATGCAGCCTGGGGGTCCAGATCCACCCCTCGCTGGGATTATTTATGTATTAGAAACTTACTAATAGTTACACTAGTTACTGAAAATAAATCTGAGAAAGGACAGCAGCAGTGTCTGATTCTTCTTGGTGTGTACAATCCTGTTTTGCAGATCACTTTGTAAGAGAAATCTGAAAAAAAATCCATTCATCCATTTATAAAAACCCATTGAAGGATCACCGCTCTACTCTTTTTTTTCTTGCTTCTTCTCACAGCTTGATTCTCAGGTGCTTTAGAGCAGAAAAGCTCCACTAAGGACTCGCGTGAATCACTAGTGATCCTTCACCACAGCTTCAAAACCCCTGACAAATTATAAGTAAAGCTCATTGCACAGACTTAAATCACAGCAAAAAACATTAATAGTGCTTGAAGAATCATCAAAAGCAAAGGGAAGCAGAAGCAATTTAACCCCTCAGCTAACAGTACTTCCTCAAGATATTCAGCCAAATTTGTAGTTACATGTGAAAGCAAACAAAAAGGAAAATACGCAATATCCTTCTTAATGAATACTCACCTATCCTTCCTTTAATTTTAATAAATAACTGACAAATCACATGAATAAGAGTTAATAAGTGAGATGAACTGTCACCATGGAAAGTATTAATATACTTCATAATAAAAGCAGATTCTATAATTTTTAATTTTGACTGAAGTTACGATTTTAAAAAAGAAAAATTAAAAATTGTAGAATGCTTCTCCCTAACACTTCACTAGAAAACTAACAGCAGCTCCAGGCTGGCCTCTTTCTAAGCAGCAGTACGTGCCTGGAGCTTGAAGAGAAGTTCAGCGTTTACAGTCCAGGTACCCTTACAGAACAGCTCTTGCACGCTCAACACAACAGTGTCTGCTGGCCTCAGCTCCCAGGTTTTCTTCTCCTTGTTTTCTTTGCCAAGTAATACCTCAGAGGGCAGAAGCTGGGGCTGCAGACTGGCTTGTATGCTGTCAGTAGCACCCTGGATGCCACAGTTTGGAAGCCCTCACCTTCAGGCTCTTCTGTCACCAGTCTGCATTTCCCCTGTGTGTCAGCAAGACCTCAGAAAGCAAACTGGCATATGGCAAAGGAAACAATGGCGAAATATTCTGAGGCTCTGACAACCACTCCTTCATTCAGTATTACACCCGCCTTCAGAAAACACCTCAGAATAAATTAACATACATGTATTTTTCAGTTAGTCATATTTTTGCTGGGAGTAAAAAACGCTATGAAACAAGTTAGATTCATAAATGAAAATGTATTTCACCTTTATACATGCTATACAGGTCATGCAAATACAGAAATCTACAGGTTATACAATGGCACCATAATAAAATATAATGTGACATTTGTCAAACACAACGTACCACAACAAAACAAACTGGTTTTGTTTGTTTATTATTCAGGAAATAGATGAAGGACTAATTTGGAAGACACAATACCATGCCACAGCTTACTGCACAGTCAAAAGAAAGTATTTTGCTGAAGTACGCTAACATAAATAGAGCTGGATTGTTGTAGGTAGGATTTCTTTACACATCGCGCATAATGTCATTGGTTACTTTCCCGTCGCTGACTTTAAAGAGCACAAGAACCAGGCTACAACTGAGCTCAAGCCACGCTGTGAACTCCCTCACATGTGAAAAAAAAACCCAAACAAAAAAGACACCAACCCCCCCAAGTTTTCACTTATTCTGTGTTAGTTTCCAAAGACAGTTGTATTTATAGTTTATTCTTATAAGGAGCTGGACAAAAGTGTCCTCAAAGCAGCACATGATCTATCATAAAGTTATCACAGTTCACCAACAGAAATAAAGTTAACACTGTATGGCACGTGATGTCTAGACATGATACACCTTGATGTGAATTTTTCCATACAGATGCTTGCAGAATACGATGGGGGCTAGCAGTGTTCCCCCGTGCGCGTGTCTCAGCCTTGGTACTTCTGCTGCAACATTCGCCTGCTGTTTCGCTGCTGACTAAATCCTGTTTTGCTGAGCCTACAGGAAGACAAAATGCTTCTCCACGTGACAGAAAGCCTGCTGGTATGAATCAAGTGTCTGCGTCTCCAAAGATTTACCTGTTATCTCACCCCCCGACCACTCACTTGCATCTACTACAGCTATACTATACATATGTTAAGGGATTATACTAGGCATTTCGCCTCCTTTGTTTACAGGTGTTACGCAAGTATGTTTTTAAACACATAGTTGATAGTCGCTCATGGACTAATTAATATTAACCACTAAGTGCCACTAGTGACTAAAAGTGTCAACGTAACGGTAACGGGATAACTCCCACACTCCACAGTCAGTAAGAAGGCTCTGGATTCCAGCAGTTGTATGTTTTTCAAGCCTCTTCAGCTATAGTTTTGAATTACATACCTGCATAAAAGTTGCCAATAACTCCTTATTAAAGACAAAAAAAGATAGGCACAAAGCTGAAGTACAGTATATTATTTCATTTCAATGCACTGTGGGCAAACCTCATCATTATTTACAGAAAAAAGATGTCTAAATAGATGTATGATAAAGCTTACGGGAGAATCGTTTCAAAATAAAATGCACAGGTAAAAATCACAGTGAAATGTTGAGATGATTTTTAAATTAAAAGTAGTAGTAAGTGCTTTAATTAGCAGCTAAAGCTCAAATTCTAATGCACACTCGGTCTTCCCTGAAACCATCAAGGCTCTAGATCACTGATTTCTGCCAAAAGCAGACGGTTATTCAACGTATTCCCCGGGAAGACAAAGTTATATTCAGCTCTGATTATTTGAAATCCAGTGTTCCAGACTGCAGAAGCTTTTTCAAGTGACAAGCTCATATTTTACTGCCAGCAGCATCACGGGGAGATACATCCTCCACAAACTGCTACCTCTGTCAATTAAAAAAAAAGAGAGAGAATGTCAAGTCAGATAGGCAAGTTAGATGACCTCAGTTTTATCCCAACAAACTGTGGTATCGTACTTTGAAACTGTCACTAAAGCCTACTACGCTCTTCTCATATTGTTTGCAGCCTTTCTGGCATAACTGACTCTATACCATGCTGCAAGTATTTATAGCAGCAGAAAAGAATAAGCAGCAACAATAACTACCATTTTCTAGGCTGGCCCCTCTTTTAACTGTTTTCTTCATGCAAATAGGCTCCAAAGACTTACAAGAAAGGCAGCGTATTAACGAAGGAAAAAAGCAAGTCTTCTTACTATATTCTGAATGGATAAAGGAATTGTTTCAATTTACCGAACACTTTTGGTTGCTATGATACACTCAGTTTGCATGTGATGCCAATTTAGAAAGAGCTGCAAATATGAAAGACTGTGCTGAATTTAAATATCTAGGAGATCAGCTTTCTTACTCCCTCCACAAATGCTGTTTACAACTGCTATATTTTTCTGGGAAGCTCGCATGTAATCACAGCGATTTATCAGACCTAAGATGTTTATCACAATACCTTTATCCGTTCGGCTGAACAGCGAGGTCGTCAACAGATAGAATTCAGTGTATTTTCCTGTCCTGGACTGTTAAATCCCTCAATCAAGTTTTTGTTACAGTCATCGAGGCTAATGGTATCACTGGACATCTTGGAGTATGTAGCTTGGCCTGTGAAATCCAAGAGATCTTCAAGAGCCTTGGCATTACTTGTCCCATTTTGGTCCAAAGAACCGGGCATAAGTTCATTCATGGGTGAATATTCAGGGATAGAGATAAGTTCTTCTTTTGAAACCGGGCTATACAAAAGATAAATGAAAGGAAGACACAGAATAAGAGATGTGTAAGTTTTCATTAAGCAACAAGCAAATTAATCTTCTGGTTGTTCAAAAACTACTACTTATCTTAAGGCCAGCTGCAGCAAGCCTTTACCTAGAATACGTCCCAATCCAAACAAAAAGAGGTTGCCCTGTTCAGGATGGAAGGTCATACCTAATCCATATTTCTTAAAGATTAAGGTTTGTGGTAGCTATGCGATATGAACACTTTTCTCCTGACACCAAGTTTCTGGTAGTTTACTGATCACTCATTATTTCAGTCCCTGCACCATTCCCTTACCTAAATGTTTACTGCATCTTGCAAATTCAATTATTGTCCTGACCCCACAAACATTTACCTAAAGCACCCACACTTAACAACTGGAATAAAAAGTTATTTGTTAAGACCTTATGACATACTTCAGACATAGAAATCCCAGAATTTAACCTTAAGAAGCACTGCAACCAGTTGATGCTTTGCTGAGACTAGTAAGGCTAGTGCATTTCAGTCTGGAGAAGAGAAGGCAGAGGAAGGATTTCACAAAGATTTCTAAAGCCATGAAGGGGTGGCGGACAAGGTGACGGCAAAGCTGTTGTGCATCAAATCCTGCAACACAAACCCTAGAGGGTGCCCAAAGACACTAGTAAGAAACTGGGTTTAATGCAGATCAAAGGATATAATTTACCTAGTGGGACTACTGTGGAACTTGCTGCCAGATGAGGTCCTGGATGCAAACGTTACCAGCAGGTTGAAAAGGGAGGTGGATAAACTCATGGGCAACAGGTCCATCAGTGGGTATTTAAAAGGGCAGGGCAGAGTTGTGCCCTCTGACATCCCTAACGTAACGCTTCTGTGTGGTCTTGGATTGCAGAAAGCGGTGGACTCAGGTGCTCTCCCTAACTAGTTTTTCTTATTGATGCTCTCTGAGACCACATAATGGGATAGACGGACTTCTGGTCTGTTCCAGTAAGGCATTTCTTAAGTATTTACGCAGATTTATTGGAAATACTGAAACAGTATGAGATGTTAAGTTGGCTTGCTGCTTAAGGAAGCACTGTATCAAAATTCCATGTTTAAAATTCAGAGCTAAGCTATCTCACAGCAGCCTTAAATTACCAACTTCCTTCTTTCCTGCGAGTCCTTCCATCGAAATCCAACAGTATTTAATACACACAAAGTTATTTTCTGATTTCCATACATTTGTTCCAGTTAAGTACTTAAAATTCTAAATTATTTTCTTTATTCTGCTTGTATGGAGGAAGAAAAGCTCATGCATCATAGCTATGCAGTCTTAGCACAAATAAAAAAATAACGGTGACATCTGACAGTATCGACAGTAGCTGCTTTCACAGAACGATCTGAAAAGTTTGGGCAAACTTGTACGGAATCCGTAAGGACGGACTGCGGAAGGATTTCAGAGCCCTCTCCCCCTCCGTCCAATATGTGAGAGTGAGATGAGGTTCTGTTGACTCCTGTCTGGAACGACCAAATTGCATCTTGACAGGAGTAGGGGACACCACAGTAGACACCTGACTGCCACATTGTGGGGTAGGTGAGAAGTAAGATAACCTTTGGGTGTTCCACAATTTCTATTAGTAGATATGGTCTGTACCTCACATCCATGGACTGAACCTCATCTGTTGAATCTTCCATGCTGTTAGACTTCCCATCAACAGCTTCCAGCTGAATAAGTCCTGGAACCGACTTGAGTCCATTAGCAACTACATCTTGGGAAGGGATTACAGTGGCAGCACTTTCTAAGCTTTTATTTTTCAGGCAGGCTGCCAATCCATTGATCTCTATAAAAGAAAATTAGAAATTATGACAGTAGCAACTTGTTTATTTTAAAAGTTAAAAAAAAAATATCACAAATGCTTTTAAGTTATAGATCAAGTAAAAAGAAAGACTGACAATGCAGTAAGACTCAGTTTCGCCTATGACTCACCGTACTATACCGCCAATCCTCTTTTCCACTCTAAAATTGCTCTTTATGCTACAACTTTTAAATTTGAGAAAACAGGAAGAGAATGTATCATTTTTTTATGTCATGTACTAAAAGCCTTGGCCTGGGGAGGTAAACAAAATATAGATAAATGCCAGATATGTGTATTTTATTTAATAATTCTTTAAATACATATGCTTTTTTCATCAAATCAAATCAAGTGTAAGATTTAGAGCAATGCTATATAAAGCTTGCAAGCTTGGTTGTGTGCAAAAATCTTCTACCTACAAAATTCAAAAGCAGACTGCAGCAACCAAACCTGCTGCCAGACTGGAACTTCTCATTTACAGAAATGCTACGTCAGGTACTAATAGGGAGGAGAAATTTTGCTCTGCTTCTGCTTACGTGACGAAACAAAGCTGAGTCTCCAGTTTCTAACATTTGTCACTCACACAAACATAGCTGTTCTTTTGGAGATGAAAGCAAAGAACCTGTGATAATACACAGCGCTCTGCCTGAGATTACAAAACTCTGAAAAGAACTAATTGTAAAAACAGGTCAGAAAAATATGGCAATTTTTACCTGGCTGGTTGAGAACAAGGGCCTTTGGTTGTTTCTCCACATTCAAAGTTGATGGTACCTCCAGTTTTGGCTCTTCCTTCTGTAATCAAGTAATGAGTCAATTATGTTAGACAATGGATTGTAACCTTCATGGAAGTGACTGGACTCGAAACTTGTGACTGCCCAGGGCCACGGGGTGGTCAAAGGTCATCGACAGCAAGAGAGGATTCCCCCCCCCCTTTTTAATTAGGCACAGGATATATTTTTTTTTTCCCCCCACACTTCAAAAATAAAACATGCTCTGAAAGTAACTGAAGAAACAGTTTCCTTAGTAGAAAACTTAGCAGAGAAGTGAAAACGTGACCCTTTGCAACTTTCTAGCTGGACACAGTTGCCTTGTTCTCAAGCCCACATTCCCGGCAGACTAACACAGAGAGCTCAGTACCTAATTCACTGCCTGGTACAAAGCAGGAGAAAACACATCACAGCAGCAAACATTACAGCTCCAGCATCCAGGAATGGGCTCTTGCCACCTTGCTAGACAGTGAGGGAGGTCAGTCTGCAACAGCTGCATAAAGCAGCGTCTCTGTAGCAGTGGCACAACAATAACTGTGACATAGCAACAGTCATTCTCAGTTTGAAATACAACTAAAATTTGGGTGTAGAATGTACCTAAGTATACCTACTAACAGGGAACTATTCTAGTGTTTAATTTTCACATACGGGTAATAAAACAAAACAAAAAAACCCTGCAACCACACACTGTTTCATACCTTTATTTCTGGTGTTTCACTCCTCCTTGTTCTCTTCATTATCTCATCTATTCTCTAGAAACCAAAATAAATCAGAGGATGAGAAGGCAGACAGAATATTTAACACAAGAGACTGATAAAGGAGAAAAAAGACAAAAAGAAAAACTTTTCTCTATTGTCATGATCTCATCCCTGCCTGTCTTGAAAAATGGAGAATAAATAATAATGAAAACAAAAGGCAGAAAACACCTGGGAGCTGGCTTTCACATATCAGATCTCATAGAACATGACCTTCTCAGTAGATGCAATTTAGAGACAAACACTTTAATACCAGGTGTTTGCAGTTACAAGTTGTGGTCAGCTCTGGAACAAGACATTTATTTAAAATCAACAGCTATTATTTTAATCTAGTTGCTTTTCCAACTGCTTCCAAATAGTTCCTTTAAAAAACAGTTAGGCTTTTTGGAATGGAAGAGTGAAATTAAATACCAGAAATTATTCTTGCTGAAAAATGGGTAAGGCATTACCCTAAAATACTGGTTTTTTCTTCCCTCCTTTGTTCATTAAAAAACCCCTCCCAACAAGCCTTTTCTCTTTGCACTACTGTGAAGGGAAACTTTCAGATTTAAAGACACTTGGTTTGGTATTCTAATCCGCAGCACGGCTCCAGCTCAGGGATAAACAGCTGAAACTAACATATTAGAGTAGCATATATGGAAAGTGGAACAACTACCTTTTATAACCAGTCAGAGGTTCTGCAGCTCTGCAGTTGTTCTCCCTTTCCTGCCACAAAGCTGTAGATAAAGCTAAGTTACACAGCTCCAGCCATTTCCTTGTGCAGCACTGGCCAGGGAGCCCTGCTGCCTCTGCATAATGCAACCAGAGGCAAGCCAGGTGGGAGAAAACCTGTTTGTTAATCACATTAACTTTCTCAATTAATGACATGAAGCTTTTGTTGAGTAAGTTTTAAAACAAAGTCACTCACGTTCCTCAATAGTCTGTGATGTCCGGGGTTGGGCGGCAATCGACATTTGCCTTGGCATGCCATTCCCTGTTGTCTCAGGCATTTAACTCTGTGGGTAGAGGCTAGTCCTGTGTTTGTTCAGTACCCAGCAGAAAGCCGTTTGCCTTGGGCAATTCCACTTTGTTACAAATTTTGATGTTCACATTCCCCGAACATGCAAGTCGCAAATACTAAATTAGGCATAAATATCAATCTGTAATCCCTCCAGATTATTATTTCTGGAAGCTATTGGGTATTTCCTGGGTTATGTATTTAAAGAAGAAATACAATAATTTTCTTAAATGAGATGCAAGTATGTACCTTCTTCCGCTCCAGTCTTTCTTGCTCAATTTGCTGCATGATTTGTTCCCTTTCAAGACGAAGCTGTTCAGCTGCCTCACGGGCTTTGATTTCTGCTTCTTCCCTCTAATCAAAATGTGTAAAATATGATAGGGCGATTATTTATTTCAGGTAGATTACCAGAGACTATAAAGTATTTATTTATATGTATATATAAACACATATATACGTATATAAAGTTTCACATTTGTGTTTGAGATAGTACCTGTTTCTCAAGTTTGGCTTGGAGCTCTTTTTCTTGCTTTTCTTTTAGCATTTGTTCTTCCTCAGCTCTTCTCCTGGCTTCCTCTTCTGCCTTTTTTCTAGCTGCTGCTTCTTCACGTTTTCTTTCCTCCTCCTTCTTACGAGCCTCTTCCTCTAGACGAAGTCTTTCTTCTTCTGCCTTTCTTTTCTGTTCTTCTCTTTCAAGCCTACAAAAAAAATGTAACAATATATTTAAAAGGTTTCATCTTGTTCAGCGTGAATCCTATTGTACCTATGGCACGCAATCAGCAGTAACTGATAACGTAGGCATTGGTCCACATTTTCACGAAAAATGCCAAGATACAGCAAAGAGGTAGAGCACATGCCCAGAATTCAGGTTGCTACCAAACTTTTAGGCAGTGAAAGTAAGACTGGAATAAATTATTTCCTAGAATTTATAATTTCCCTTCAAAAAAAAAGGTGTCAACGAAAAGAAAACATTTCCATTCTAATTTCAGTTCGAGCTTCAATAATAAACACATCTCTCTTCCCCTGTACTTCACACCCAGAATGCTGGCAGGTATCTACAAACAAGCAAGTACTTTCTTCCTTCATTTCAGCCGATGATAAACAGATCAGGTAAGTAACAGGAAACAAAGATCGCAAAACACAGTGGTACACTAAAAAGAGTGGGTCTAAATTCCACCCTGGCCCACTCAGGGACACCATGCTCCTTTGTCACCACATTCAAGACCTGCTTTGACAACTGATCATTCTTATACTTGTGTATCAGGGATTCAGGAAATATTTCCAAATTCTACCCCCCCATGTTTTCAATAAGAACAAAGTTGAATTTAGACGTGCAGAGTTAGTGATTTACTACTGAGGGCTAGAAGGAAGGGCATGATCTGTTGACACTTGCAACCAGCATCCAACGTGGAGAACAACCTAAAAACTTGGTCCCAGAATAGAGCCAGAATTTCACTGCTTAGACTCAGCAACCTTCATTGTGCCCCCACTCTAAAAGCCCCCAGCTGCCTACAACAGAGTTTGGCAGAGAGATAAGCTTCAGGTTTTAATCCCTTGAATGATACAAGTCAAGGCATATACTACTACTGCAAGACTGTTTCTTCTATGTGAACTAGCTCATTTAAAACTGCCTCAAATACTTCTCTACAACACAAAATACTTCAGGTATGTCCATACTGTGCGTGGACATACCTGAAGTATTTGGATGAGTAATAGTTTCTTCAGGCTTCTTAAAGAGGCCAAATTATTATTTTCTACCTTCACTAGTCACAAAGACCGCAAAAGACACTAATGAATTAGAGGTCCAAACCAAAAGAAATTAACACTTACACGTAAGCTTCCACCTCGATTCTAAAACCACCACAGTTTCAAGCATCTTCAGTGACAGAAGTTAAATTATTAGGTAATAATTTTCACAAATCAACAGAGATACCTCTCCCGTTCTTCTCTTTCCTGTCTCTCCCTTTCTTCTTGTTCTTTTTGCAGGCGGGCCTGTCGTCTTTTTTCAGCTAGAATTTTTGAGGCTTGATCTGCATCAGTTGTTCCTGCCGTGATCTTCCCTGGGAGAAGACAACCAAGGGTGGAAAGTTAGGCAGGGAACTGAGAGTGTCCAGCACTTCCACACTCACACCGGTGCTAAAATGGGCCTGGTTCACGCTGGCATGACACTTTGTGCTTTTCCAAAGCATACTTCAGCATTTTCAGCAGATAGAATATGGCATGGGTAATGACATCCCTGGATTTCAACACTTCCACATCCTCATTAACAAGTGTTTTTCTTACATGGGCAACCCTGGTGAAAACTATACATTTACTGGTTCTAGTGTGTACCTTTACACGTTCTCACAAACCCATGACTGAGCAGCTTCATAAAAACAACAGTTCATCACTGTTTAAAAGCTTCACGGACCCACAATACACCTTGCAATTTATTCTTGCGGTAAGACTCACCTTCACTGTTTTCAGTCTTTCCTGCAGAAGGCACATGCTTTTCAGAAGCCACCTGGCCTGCCTCATCAGTACGTGCTCCCGGGGATTTTTGCTGACTGACATTTTCTTTCTCCTTGTCTGCTTTCTTTTTAGGAGTTTCCTGGTTGAGATTAGAAGTGGCACGATGCTTCACAGGAGAGGCTGGATATTGTTTGGCATTTTTAGGAGACTGAGGATAAGTCTTTGCAACTGTCCTGATGAGGGAAAACAAAAATCAAAACAGGCCATATGTTACACAGCTTGGAATCAAACTCTACCTTCACCCGTATTGTTCCTCTTGTCTCTGGCTACATAGGAGTCTCAGCTGTTTTGAACACTACTGCATAGAAACCACCTGGATGCAAGCAATCAGAACCCAAAATGCAGAAAACTGGCATGCAAGAGCAAATGATTACGGAAATTCTCATCTAAAAAGACCAAGAATACAGTCTGAGTTGTAGGCAAGAAATATGAAATCTATCAACGACCTAAACCAATTATTTTAATGATGGCCATTTCATAACAATTTTACCAACATTACTATATTCAATAGTCCTTCTCAACATTTAAAGCAAAGCTATGGCTGCTTTCTGTCTGCAGAAATCATAATGAGTTGCAGTGTGCTGCTTTCAGCTGAATACCGCCTTGTAAAACATGGTGTCTGATTTCCCAAAATAGCACAAACTACTGCTACACACAAAGGTGAAGGTGGGTACTAGAATAAGAGACAGAACTGACCAACCCATTCTACAGTCAGCTCCGCTGTTTCAGTTCACGCTTTAATCAGCACCAACACAACAGACTCAAGGCTCAAAGCTCAGCCCTGGCAACATTTTACACGGCTGCACTGGTGGTGACAGCAACGCACAGCAGCAACGCTGCCGACTGCCCGCATGGCTCCTGCATAGCTTATGTGAAATGACAACCCTGAATTCAGTTCTGGGAAAGCGGAAGGGTAAAGATACTTGATATTCACTAAAAATAGGGGCACATTAAAGAGAATAGATTGCCAGGAAACATAAAACTACATGCAAACACCATTCATTATTTATGTAACACCAGTAACGAGCATTAAATACTTGCAACATTAAGAAAGGCTGGGCTGTGTGACTAAGTAATATGGAAGTAAAGAGATTGCAATCTTAAAATAATGATTTATGCGAGTCCCATTAGAATAAATAATCTTACATTAAGTCAACATTATACATGTAGTTTTAACCTTCCTTGTGGATGTGCAATTATGATATAAACGTATTATCCCTTATCACTTTTTTCATCTACACAATATAGAGTTTCATATACTATAACATGCTTTCTGGACTATATACTCATTCTAGCAGACCACAAGCTTGACAAACATGGACAACGGCTGAAAATTAATGGACTGGAGTGGCAAGTTTTGCCTAGATCTAACTATAGTACTGTGTGGCCAGAGACTATTATAACCCGAACAGCATTTGCATTACAGAGCATACAATAAAAATTAAACATCTTTCAACCCCCGCCCCATTCAAGAATTCAGGAGAAGAAAGGGTTCTTTCCCACCATATTATGCTGCATTTGAAAGAGGCTGAGACACCAGAATACAGGGAGCTCACTCAGAGCTGCCCAGTTTGTGGGGAGGAAAAGACTGCAGAGTATTGCACCACCTGTACTTTCTTACTCCCACTGAAGAGCCATCACAGATTCCAGAAGCCCCTGGGCTGGTAGAACAGTAGCACCCAACTAAATCTGAAGTTCAGCTCAGGTACCCTCTGCCTGCAGGCTCAGGAGCAACCTGTAAGCTCAGGTCCTTGCCCTTGGTCCTTGCCTGAGCTAAGCTGCAGGTACGCCTGTTCCTGGCCTCCTAACCTGCTGATCCTGACCCGATGTCCTGGCTTGTCCTTGGACCTGCCTCATTAAGGCCTTTGCTGGCTGTCATCAGACTCTTGGCTGACCCTGGTCACCATCACCAGACCTGCTCTAGTCAATCCTTATGTCTGCAGTAGGATGGGGTCCTGCGGATGAGGTCCCTGCCCTCATCTGCCATGCTGCCACTCACAGCTCCCAGCTCGCCCTGCCTTGTAGGGAAGCCTCTGCCCCTGCTGCTCGCCCACAGAAACAGGCCTTGGAAGATGTGGGCAGGCAAGTCTGTTTCCAGCTCTTGTAAAACAACAGCAATGGGCGAAGATGATGAGATTGGTTGGTGTTGACCAACTCTGGTTTTAGCACTGTCTTTCATTTTCTCTTTAGGATATAGATGGCTTTCCAGGCCCTCCTAAAGACAAAGGCAGAGATTTCAAAGCCTCACCTACATACATACATCTCGTATGTGCCTCACCATTACAGTCATTTCCAACGGCATTTCATAAAAATATAACACGTAAACAAAAAGCAAACAACCTTTGTTATGCTTCCCTGCAGCAGAAAGGATGCTGCTTGCTAACCAGACACATCTTCAAAGCGTAGTCCCTTCTTGCTGTCTTTGGTTTACATTTCCAACTTTACCACATGCTCCTTGCAATGTTTTTTATTTAACTTGTTGTGACAGGAGGAGCAAAGCAGTTGCATAACTAAGGTTGAGTCATTTTCTGTATTAGCGCACGAGCAATTGTTCTCTAATAAAGACATGACAACCAAATTAAAGAGGTTGGTAGGAAGGAGTCTAATCATGAGAGCTATGTATCTTGCACTGCATAGGAATTAGAGCAGACCGGCTGTACAACTTACCTGCTGGACTAGAAACATGTGCTGAATTTATTATTTAAGTAATGCATCTTCGAACTTTTAGACCTACAGAATGTTTTCCTTAACAGCTCTGTAGCCAGAAGAAAAAGTTGGGCTTTGCTTATTTTAAAGCAACTAAAAGCGAGAAGCCGATAAAAAACAGATTACTGCAAGGACGATAACAATGCAGTGTGAGGAGTGAAAAGCTGAGAAAGCCCATCAAGATTTTTTTTTTTTTTTTCAGAAATGTAAAATCACTTTTTGGGTACCAATAGAAAGTATTAAATGAACACTGATTTCACCCTTGTATTTAAAATGTATTATCAATTTAGCGTCTTCAACATTCCTAGACACATGCAGAATTGTTACTGGAAAAACCACTCCTTCTAACAGTATTGAAATGATGCTACTTTTCACCAGAAACAGCCGAACTACATTGTGAAGACAAAAAAGTGGGATCATTAAGGGCAAATGTATAAACACTTGCATAGGGGTCTGCTTAGGTTTAAAAAACATTTTCTTTTTGCCTTGGGAGAAAAGGAAAAGGATGTAATGAAACCCTGGTAAGAATGTGGGAACGCAGAAGTGTGCCTGATGAGGATCAGAGAACTAAGACGACAAACTGCCCAAATCCAAGAAGCGTTAGCATGTTAGCTGCCTGGAAGTCGGCTCGTCTCAGTCACTAGATTTTACAGGGCAACACAGAAGGACAGAAAGCATCTTCTTCCCTCCAGGTGGTCTTCGTTTCCTCACCTAATTGCCCTGTGTTGACGTGGGGACAGCAGCTTGTAAGAAACCATTCTCATCATGACCCCTACACGCACTGCAAGAACCTCTATCAGGTCTGACGACCCACTGATCCTTAAATTACAATAGCTCTTATTTAATTAAAAGGGGGATAGCTTATACTGCAGAATAACATCCCAGGAAGACCACAAGAGGGGTTCTGAGCTTACAGTTGCTAAGCATAGAAAATAAAGTACATGAGTCAGAGGTCACATCCAATTTTGTCCGTGAACAGCGTGCTTTCTTGAAAAGCCAGGTACGTGACAGGTCATCGGTTACAGCAGTTCAGAACGCTGACTGTAAATCAGAAATCTGCAGCAATGCCAGAGCTGCGTTATTTTTCATCCTATCTCCCTATTGATTCAACAAAAGCTCTGCTGAATCCAACCAAAGACTTGCATGTTCTCAGGCCTGCTTTCTGTCATTGCTCCGATCACAAGCTATTCCTGCGTTCCGACATTTTTCTCTGCTGTCTATGACATTTTCTCAAAAATAGTTTTCTTTCATTCTTAGTTTTGATCTTTTCCAGCCAGAAGCAAATTCATATGTCATATTTCTGAAAAGAGCACAAACTCAGCATAGGTCTAGAGAAGTGTTATTTTGATAGCTGCATTATTACAGATATTTTCAAAACTTGAATTGGCCCATTCTCTAGCTAGCTACTGAAAAAATCCCTCAAAACAGTCTTGATCCAACGTTCTACCCATTGTTTTAATCTTTCCAAGGCAAAACAAAGATCAAGAGTAGTAAATGTAGCACATATCAAATAACATCTAAAAGTAGGTCACCGCAGGACATACGAGCTACTTCTGTGAGAAATTTACCACACGCAGACACCTTTCTAATAGGTCATTTCTAAAAATTTTTAAAAGTTTGGGCTTTTTTGTACTACTGTAGGTTCATATTTCATTGGTATTCTGTAACTCGATTGAGCACGTGCATTTCTGACATCAAGATGCGTGCCAACAGCTGCAGTGGGATGTCTCCCAAAAGACCCACCAAGTTACAGGTTCCGTTAGTGAGCCTGCAAGCAAAGGACAGGGACACAGACCGGGAACTGGAACTGAACCAAGAACCACCACCCGCCAGCAGCGCTGCGGCCCCTTCTCCCTTCCTCTTCATCATATGAGGTAATGCTTCGGCAAAATAATGTAACTCCGAGGCTTGTTGGAGCTTTCCATTTTTATTCACTGGCTTATGCTACGGCTTATCTGAAGATAATTCAAACTAAATCCTACTCCCTTGATTCAGTCAGGTCCCACTGATTTCAAAAGGACTCTTCACCCAAAGGCATGTGAAGGACACGGGCTTTATTGCTTTGCCGATCCATAAGTTGGGACACTTACCTATTCTCTGAGGAATACTGCAAGAATAAACCAACTAATGTATAGATCTCTGAAGATGAAGCATCAAAAATAAATTACCAAAAAACCTGGTATTATTGATCTTATGGAAGCTCTGAAGAACAGGAGCACTTTACACTATCAGTATCCAATAGCAATTGTAAAAATAAAAGATAATTTCTTAATTATCCCAGCCCTCTAATCCATTAACTTTCATCTTTGTCAACTGATCCACAGTGGATTCAAAGCAATAGTTTTGGGTTTCTTTCTTGTGTGACATTTCTTGATATATTTACTTTTTCAAATATCTTCAAGCTTTGAACTCCTTCCTTGCTTCTAATTATTGCTCAACATATTGGTTTTTCCCCTTTTTTCCTTTTTAGCTCCATATTTGTTCACTCATTTTTGCCTTGGACGTTATCTTTTGGGCTGATCTTTTATGCTTTCTCAGTAAAATCTGCAATGCTCAACATATTGGTTTTTCCCCTTTTTTCCTTTTTAGCTCCATATTTGTTCACTCATTTTTGCCTTGGACGTTATCTTTTGGGCTGATCTTTTATGCTTTCTCAGTAAAATCTGCACCTTCAAACACTTGTATTTTTAAAGGTAATTATACTGCAAATCTATTCTCTTTAGGTTGAAGTTTTATTGTCTTGTTTGAGCCTGTTTCAGCTACTTTACCATGATAAAAAGAGTTTTTTAATTAATAAATAATGAAATAACATATAAACAAAACAAGCAACTACCAGTCACAAACCAAGGTGACGATTGTGAAGAACTAAGAACTAGAACAGGATCAAGAAAACCTGAATATCAAGTCACATACTTTTAAGAAGAAAAATGCATGCAACTAATTATCATCTAAATCACTGGCCATACTTGATTCTTTCCTCAAGACCTTTCGAAAAAAAAAAGGATCACTAACTACTAATGTTGTACAATACATATTCTTATTTCATCCAGGGTATTTTTTTGGCCATGTAGCGTGCTGGAAGGAGAAAGATTAAACTTGTAAAAGATTTTCAGGTTTGCAAGTAGAACGAGTAATTTGTTTACATATTTAGTCACATTAAAATTATACTTAAGTTCCAAAGTTAATTCTAAATGAAAAGGTAAGATTATACAGTCTAAAGGAAGGTTCCAAAAGCCTGTCTGCCTACATTTAAATCCACTGACCAGCTAGATCAATAAGCTGGCATTTGAGTTTTATGAAGAAATGTGTATCTTTATATAATAATATAGTATGGTGGTCAGGACACCTTTTATTTTATTTCAAATTTCTGAGGGGAAGTTTCTAGAGTGCTGAAGCAGAACTGTCTTTCTGCAATCAGTAATAAACATGGATTTAAACTATTTACTGTATTTCTCATAAGCTCAAGGAGGGAGTTCTAATTGGGCCATGTTAAGATTAAATGCTCAGTAATACATTTGTAGCAGTGGTCAGAATCAGATTCTCTTGAGGAAGGAAAGGGAGAAAAAAAGAAAACTACTGTGGCTCACAATCACAGAGAAACCCATCAGCAGGCTTCTTAATTCCTCCATACAGCATGTGCTTATTCCTCTAAAAACAGTAGTTTATATTCCTTATAGGCGTGAAAATATTTTACTATAAAAAGGTTCCCATAATTTGCACCTCTGGGAAAAAAGTCTCCATCTTTGCCCAACCTTTTATGGAAATTAGCACTACAAATTAAGACTGGACACGCTTTTTTCATAAAGCACTAAACATCTGTTTGCTTCACACAATCTTCCCCCCCCAGATGTCTCTACAATGAGCTATACCAAACTTTTCTATGCCTGCCCATCAAGGAGTCCTTCACTCTCAGCAATCCCTTTCCCTCCAATCATTTTGCTTAACTAAATATGTCTCTTGGTATGTCTCCTGTACTGCCCGAGTGAACTGAAAGACACATTCTGAACAGGGAATATCAATACTTACAGAATAATACAAATTTTTATAGTTCATGCTTTTCTCCGTACATTCTGGAATGCCACTAGACAACAATTAGCTCGAAATTGTAATAAAAAAGCTGACTGTCATTAACATTTCTTATGATTCCATTCTTCAGAATAGTTCAGAATCTGACGACATTATACATATAACATTGAAAGTTTAAGAATTTGTGGCCCTGTAACACAAACAAGAATTGCAGTTTCCCAGTTGCATGCAAGGGGATGTCTAAAACAGAAAGAATGCCCAGAGTCAGATGGCTTTCCATGCTTTGTCTAATGCCAGATTAACACACAAAATCATCGTCCATTACAGGGCTATGCACTCAGAGATGAAACAGAAAAAGGAACACCAACCAGCTCCTTTGTGAAGCGAAAGAAATTTATCAAAAAAGGGATCATCAAGACCGGTTCAGAATATAGGCATGTTCAGATTAAAAAAAAAAAAAAAAAAAATCAGACAAAAAGAGTTAATTTTTCAAGACAGAAGGAGGATCCATGAACAGGGTCTAGGGGAAAAAACAACCCAAAACAAAACAAAAAATCAGACAACTACTGTAGACCATGACTACTTCAGCATACTTCTGCATTTGAGCCAGACTTAATATCCTATTCTAAGAAAGCTGAAAACACATTTGTTTAGAATTGTGAGCTGTAACCTGTGGTACATGAACTACAGCTTTGAGTGTCTGCAAAAGACAGTTAAGAAAAGCAAGTCAATTGCTAATAAGCCTGGATATGCTAAAGGTCCACAACTCTCCACAAAAAAAACAAACAAACAAAAAAACCAGCAACAAAAAGCAACAAACCCACAGAGGTCTGCAAATAAACAAGGATTAAAACTGATGGTTTAGATAATGCATAGTTAAGTATATTTATGGAACCAGATGGTTATGCCAGCAATAGGAAATGCGTATTTTAAATGCTGGAATTTCTAGTTAGTATTCATGTTCTGTGCATTTCTTCACATTAGGCAGAGGTTCTTCAAAACCAAATAAAACAAAAGCATGTTTAAAAATAAATGTTTAGAAAATTTCACATGAATTATGAAATGCATTGTGATAGTTTCAAAACACTGAGAAAAGGCAGAGAAGTGTCTCTAGTGACTACTAACACAATCTTACCTATGTTATCTGTTCATCTACATCTCCCTCTCCTTCTCTCCCTATCTGTATATGTGTGTATGTATAACTAAAATTAACTAGATTTTATACAATACTTCAAAGGAAGTTCCTCAATAATCTACGTCTCCTTCATAGCTAACAAGAAGCTCACAGCATATTAGACCACCAATAAGAAGGGCATACTTAGGTGTTGCAGGTGATGCAGATCTTCTGGACAGGGCAGCAGGAGAATCAGACCTTCTTAGAGGAGATCCCATACCAGATGACGAACCAGGTGTTGCGGCTCGCTTCTCTTTCTTGATCTTCTCAGTCTAGAAGCATAGTTCATTTTAGTTTCCATAATTAGCTCCAACACATCAAAAATATATTTGATTGTTTTATTAACAAGATGGCATATAAACAGATTTGTGTAACATACATTTAAGATAAAAGTTTTTTAAACGGGAGCTCACAACTGAGGTGCAATAGTTTTTTATTTTACATAGACACAACCCCCCTGCCCCCCATGTCTTCCATGGACATAGTATACAAGTTGCAGGTAAATAAGACCACATCAGAGCCTCTCCAAGAGGTCTTTGGGAGGGGTAGCAGCACTGGGTGGAGTTTTCAAAATCACGTACATGCTCCTGCAGCACCTCTTAGACATGGTCAGTAGAGCACCCAGACATCTCGCAGAAATGCTGCTGGACGTAACTCTGTGAATCGCACACTACACAAAATCTTTAGCTCCCACCTTTGGTCCTCTCACATCTAATTTAGACGGCATGAATTCCTTTACTATTAACTAGTACAACACAAAGGACCTTTACATTTTACAAAATTTTACAGCCCTAGCAAAAGTTTTTTAAAACATGTCTTGCATTGCATAGAGTCAGTGAAGGTGCATGACTTGCCTTTGCTTTTCTGGAAACTACAGTGGATCAATAATGCACCTTTTAGCAAACAGCATTAAAAATGTCCACAGAAAGAGTTAAGCGATTGGCATAAAACAGAGGCATTGCCAACACACTTGGCAAGTTTCCGAAGTATGTGAATCTTGCTAATTAACCAGCAAGACTGGATAGTCATACTCAGTAGAGAGATCCTATTTGTCATCCCCGTTCCCAGAAGTTATAGGCAAGTCCAGAAACACACACTTCAGTGCCAGAAATCTCAGCTCCCTGCAAATAAAGGTGTTGCTGCTCCAAATACCAGCACTCAACACTGATTCCCAGGAGGTGGAAGATACCAGGATGCTGCTAAACAGGAGCACGAAAGCAACGGGTGCATGCAAGGCTTGCTATCTTACTGCTGCTTCTTACAACAGGGGTAGCACTTTATTTTTATGAATGTAAAGGGAAAGGTAACAACCAGAAGCTGCATCAGTTTACCCAGAAGTGAAATCAAAACCATTGCAAACCCACCTGAGTAACTTCAGCTGCAGCCGCCCCTTTCATGGCATCTGAAGTGGAGGGTGAAGTTGCCTTCTTTCTGTCAGTGCTTCGGGTGGGGGAAGGCTTGTAGGGAGATTTAAGAGGACTAGCTGGTGCTATACGAGGACAGATATGGAATACTAAAGAGTTATAGCACAATAGCAAGAGCAAAAGGGAGCACAGACAGAGGAAGTAAAGGAGAGGAGAAAACAGCATACTTTTATGTTATAATGTTCAAAGGTAGTTTTCAAGGTTTTGAAAAACTGTTTCAAAAGATGACATTATATAACACATTCAACACGGTCCCATGTTTACTAAAAATGCCTCAACCGAAAATAACATTTTATAGGATTTTTTTTAATTAATTATCTCTAAAATATCGCTCTCTTACTCATATACCTTTTGAGTCACCTGACTATGACTGCAATTCTTTGCTCTTCTGAAAAGTCCAGCTTCCTTTGCATATGATAAAGGATAATCAAACAATTTCTAGTTAGGTGACTTCTGAACAAATACTGCAGAACAGGAAAGGTGACAGAAGAGTAGGGAATTTTTTTTTTTTTAAAATAAGCCTAAACATGGCAAAGGCTTCCAAATACCTTAATTGCTTTTCAAAATAATACTTAATTAAAAAAAAAACCCACAGCCTCAAACCTAAAAAAAAAAAGTGCTGCTGTAGGTATTTCAGTTATTGTTATTTGTGGTAGACATCAGTTTGAGTGCAACACATGCATTACAGCTTACAGGGTAACTCTTTCTGGGTATTTTTTTTTTATTTGCAATATGAACAGGATTTTTTAAAAACAATTATTTTACTCTTGGTTTTGTTCATATTGCCTTCTAAGATGAAATTTTCATACACATATGGAACAATCAACAGAGTATATGCTTTATTAATATAACAGAAAATAATTGTAACCATGTGACTGCTTCCAATCATAGTCAACTGAAGTCAAGATGGATACTGACTTTGGAAAAGCAGTAATTATGCTCAAATGTAAATGAATTCACATTTTTTTTATTGGGGGAAGTCCTACAAAATTTCTTATGAAGCCTTTTTGTATGCTTCTAAATCTGACTGGACCTGTATATTCTTTGACTGACTTTCCAGCAAGTTGGCAGAAGTTCACAGAATAGTAACAAAAATGTTCAGAAACGTAAATGCTGCTTAAGGATTTTTACTTCAACTGTAAAAAAAATTATGTGCCCAATAACAACCATTTGCCTGAATATCTTGACTCAGAGTGACATTAATAATGCATTGCCCTAGAGAAAGTGTCTTAAATTGAGACTCCTGACTTCTAAGCTTACAGAAAATGCAGGAGCAGAGCAATTTTGACCCAAATCTAACCACATGAGGCACAATATGAGCTCCTGAAAAGGAAGAACCCTCTTTCCTGTTCAGGAAGCTGCTTCTACGGAGAGAACTGCACAACAAATGCGAGAGCTCCCTCAACCCTTTTGCTAGCAATTACTGACAAAATGGTCAATGGCCACCCTGAGTATTGATGCTGTTTGCAATCTGTGCTACAGCCTTGCGAGAGGAAATGACAGGCGGACACTGGTTCGGACAGCTGTTCCCAGAATCAGCACTCCAGTTTCAGCTCAGGGAAACAGCAGTTTGCAGGCCAAATTGCCTTCCTGTCAGACATGCCAGCGTGCTACTTTAAAGATCCTGTGACAAAGAGAGAGATAAAGCTGGGAGCTGACAAACGAGTGGGGAAGGACAGTGGAAGACCCTACTAATTTCCTCAATATCAAATGCAACACAGGAAACAACATCTGTAGGTGGCCCCAGCAATTCACCTCAATTTTAAGCAGAATATACAGATTAATTTCAACTTGGCTTTTGTTCAGTCTTAGCGGTAGTTGATCCCTGAGCAGTAAGAAAATTGGGAATTTTCTCATGGGTCAAGTACTGTATCACAACATTTCTGCTTCCAGATGCTGCTTTTAATGTAGAAACAAGGGAGATAATTTTAGAGCCATTCAGTATCAATGTCCCTATGCACTGCAACAAAGAAGTAACACAAAAAGGAAAGTAGGCTTATTTTGCAATTCATTTTTAAATAGCTTTGTATTAAAAGCACAGATGCAGGACCTGAGCCTATTTCAACCATGGTGTATGAAAATACTCCTCACGAAGATGATCAGTCTTCTAACTGTGCAACTGGTTTTATCCTGAAAAAATGTTTCCTTTTGCAGACAGGCATTTGGGTGTGAAGTTTCGGGTGAGGTTTTTTTTTGTTTTAATAAAAGTAAAAAAAACAGCTCTTCAACTTTTGTCCTTGTTTCAGCAAACACTATGACCAGGTATAGCTTTATAAGTAGAAACTACTCTGAGTCAGGCACTTGCCTAAGTATTAGTGGGACTGGGAACATTAGTTTTGCAGGTGTTTGCAAAATAAAGGTTTTATCAGACAGCCATTTACAGACAGGAACAGTAAGTATCATCCCTAACTTTCAGTTTCTTAAAGATCAATAATTTCTGGAACTGACACCTTCCTATCAGTGTCTGTTTTTTCCTGGAAGTATCATTTTATACACACATATATATACACACAAATACATATACAGTCACACAGTTAAAGGCAAAAAGGAATTAAACAGCAAAGACCTGGAACCCTGGTAAAAATAATTAAGGCTGAAATCGTGCACTAGGATTTTTGTGCTACATACTATCTGGGTACAAAAAGGGATGACACTAATATATCAAGTAAAGTCTCTGAGAGGTGTCACACACTGGTCTAAAAAACTGGTTCTTAAATGAATATATTCGGTTTTCCATTGGCTTAGGTTTTAATGATTTTGTTGATTCAATTTTCTGTTTGTTTTTTTTTTAATAACTATGTTTTTTTTAAAAAAGCCATTCAGAACCAGACAGACAAGATTATGTGTTTTTTCAAGCTTTTAAACACACTGCTATCAGGAACAACTTGTTTCATCAATCATTTTTGTAGTACTGTGTAAACTGTCATTCGGTTCATAGTACTCCATTTCTTTCAGCAACTACTCAAATGCAACCAAAAACATACCTTAACAGTTTCAAAGTGAGTAATTCACATTTTTACCTGGATTATTGTACTGCTCAGAAAGCATTAATGTACTTCTGCTTCTGGCTAAAGATGACTGTGTGGGAGTCAGCAGTCGAGAAACAATAAAGTTTTCCATTGGACTAAGATGCATGCGGTGAGCTGAAGGATGGGAGCAAATAAAATATAATTTAAAATGCAAAGAAATAAAAACATGTTACATTAAAATAACTGAAGCAAAATGATGAAATAATTAAATGAAATGAAAAAATCTGGAATTGTTTGAGATCTGAAATATTTAAAGATAATTTTAATTCCCTCTTAAAAAAAAAGGGTTCTACTTTCTCCATCATTTCAAATTATTTTCCCATCTGTACAATAAATATAGTAACGTTAAGACTGTGTCACATTTTCCTCTTACACAGAGGCATGTTCCATTCTGCAAAATGGTTGCTTTCATGACTCAGCATGAAAAAGGTTTGCCTTCTTCCCAGCAGAAAAGGTGAAACATTTGGTGTAACAGCGCAGCTACTCACTAATGTGCCAACCATACTGGGACTGCATTTAAAATCTGCAGTCTCACCGCATTATATAAGTCTTATTTACACAATATGTCTGCATTCTTTCCTACTCCATACATATAAGCATCAGCTATAGAAAACAGATATTTATAGATGCTCCTATTACACGCATACATGGATATATAGCCATCTATCATAATAACCTCAATGCTATGAGTTTTCATTAGGCAATTCAGAAGTCACAGTAAGTTTACCTTGTCTTTTCATTCTAGAAACCAGTCTTCAGTGTCACTTATTTCAGCTGATACACTTTTTTCTCATTAAAAGTTTAAAAAAAGAGTTTAAAAAAAAAAAAAGGGCGGGGGGGAGAAGGAAAAGACGACACACAAAAACAAACCAACAAAAAAAAAAAATCCAAAGAGTTCACAGCAGGATAAATCCTTCAGTCCTCTCTGTAGTGTTTAGTAACCACTAATCCCACAAGACGATCATCTTTTGCTGAGCCTCTCTCGGATCAGGGCTTCAAACCAAATTAAAGGGCTCTACAACTCTGGTCACCAGACTGCAGCCTTCCAGGTGGCTCATCGGACATACTTCGGCCCACAGTACATCCCATGCCTATTGCTGAGCTACGTGTTTGGTTTGCTTGTTTTTCATAATTCGGCTACAAGATCACAAGTTGTACAGTTATAGGAAACTGCTGCAGTCACAGCATGTACTTCCAGCCCTGTTTGCTGGAGGATCAAAAACTGAAAAGGAATCAGTAAAAAACCCCACGGTGTTTGTAGCTGGCCTAGGATCTCCAGCACGGCAGTGCAGTCTTGGGACAGGCTGCAGAACTATTCTATGGTATTAACTTACAACCCCTCAAATATCTGAGTTCTTCTGCATAATAGACATAAGCGAGTTACACAGCTATATGGACAACAAGTAGTGCTTAAGCAGAAGGAGAGTTTATGCTGGTAGGAGACCAGCATATTCACTTGCCTCTGTCAGGGGAATGTGTTATTGCCGCTGTGGAGGCGGAGAGGCGCTTACTGATTGGCGATTCCATTTGCTTTGGCAGATTCATTGTAGAAGCTGAAAGTTTGTCACATGCTGCAGAGAGACGCATTGAAGATATTTGTATTCACATCACAGTGTCGAAAAACTCCCAAAATTAACCTCGCATTTGTACTCGTGGCCCTTGCCACTGATCATGGCACTGAATAAGGAGTAAGATAAGCTATTCCCAACTGCTGGAGGAGAAGCATTTTACAAGACATGCTTTGGGATGCAACTTTTCTGCTTGTGAATTTAACATTCCAGTTTTATGACAGCCTATATTTTATATTGCCACAGACAAATAATTACGTATCAGGTCTGAGAGTGAAGCCATTCTGACACAAGACACTCAATACCAGCACAAGCAGAAAGTTACCTAAGGAAAACAAACCGCACACATGAAAACTCTAAACTCATCTCCATTCCCCCTCGTCTCTACTTTCAGCCTGGAAGAGCTGGGGTACACTTCAGGTGTTATTCTAATACAAAAATGAAAGAACCAACATTTGCACGTTCTCACAATGAGAACTCACTGTTTTAATGACTGATCTGGCAGCAGCCATTTGGCTTTACCCTTTTGTGCTTGAGAATATTTTTGAAAAAAAAAAGTGCACTTTTTGGTACTACACCAAGTGCTTTCGTTCTTCTTCTGAATACTGTATGACAAAGTCTGTCTGAGTGCGATACCGACTTCCTACCCTGCCATTTATTCAGCCGAAAAACAGAAAAACGTTATTCAAGTATGACAACACTGTACTAGTATATGACGATCACTGCATGATGCTCAGAAGCTAAAAGCATTGATGTTTTGTCCCTTCAATTTAAATTTTATTTTTCAAAACCAAAAATATTTTTCAGCTAGAGAAGTATATGTGGCCCTAATACTGTAGCCCCGAAGTTACGACATTCCCTGTTACATCCACTGAAACGTTGCCTCAGTGGGGTCTGCAAGATTTGCCTCCACCTACTACAGTAAACACCACAATTCTCTACATCTGCTTTTTTAAAAAAGCAGCATAATGCTCATATGCTGCAAAACATCAGTTGCACATCCAAATCTCTTTGTACATGAGCAACAATTAGCACAAAATTTTGAATCTGTTTGCACAGAAATAATAGTTCTCCAAGATCATCGGCAGATCAACACTTACTGTGCATTCCACAGGAGTAATATCCAAGCCTAGCTCCTCCTTTGGGAGGAGAGAAGGAGCCAAGTTCTTAAAAGCACAGGCTGTGTTACGTTTTCAAAATGCCAAGTACATTTGCAATAAAAATCAGAAATCCTATATGTAACCCATTCTTAATTTTGGAGGACTCTACTCCACAGTCCTTTTATGGGAATAATAATTAAAAAAAGATAACTGAACAATAAAAAAAACCCCAACCATGATTGCCTAAACAAAGTTAACTACTTGAGTTTGTTATAAATACCATCTTGGCCAAAATCCCCTTCAGGATGCTGAAAACATAGCATGGGTGTTTATATCAAATTTGCTCGGTCTTAAAATATTGTAGAAAAAGGCCCCTGAGACAGAAAAGAGGACTGTTTTGATGAAACTTGGTCTCCATAAAGCATTTTACCTTACTGTGCAACTGAAACTTTTTTCAACAGCACATGTGCCCATGCATGTCCATTAGAACTGTCAAATATATGCATAATTACTTTTACACACACACACAAACACAGAGCACCCGCAGAATTAACAGAGATGAGAATCTGAGCGGCAGAAGTCTACAGGTAGTGAGAAAATCATGAAATGCCTCTACTGTGCTAGAATGAGAGGCATGCACTGCTCCACGATGGCAAAATCAAAGGGAAATTAAAAAGACATTTGGTCCACATCGCTAAGGGTAATGCTGCAGAGTACCAGACTGAAATAATAAACAGTGGTTAGGAAGGACGAGATCAGTGGATGGATTACAGTGATTAGAACAGCTATAAACGAGACACGATGGTATTGTGATTCTCTGAAATACCATTGAAGGAATCAGCAGGAGCAGTAGAGGTCACAGGGTCTGGAGGAAGGGTGTTGGCAGCTAAACCTAGAACAGAGGGTGGGGTATTTTCTGATTCACCTACACAGCAGAGAAATCAGAGCAAAAAGAGGTGAAAGAAATTACTGAATAAGTTGGGAGAGCTGGAATTAAGCATAAACTGCATCACAAAGACAAACTGTTTCTTTCTCAAAGTATAAAAGACTTCTTTTATTATCATATATATTTAATTTCCTGGAAAACTATGATGTGAAACAGAGTTTGCCTTTTTAGAGTTAAGTATATTTAAACAGTGTAAAAGATAATAACTGTCTTATTTTGTCATCACCCAAACATGGATATTTTTCCTCATAACAAAGGTTTATTCAAACCTGACAAAATTTAAATAAATTATATGATTTAAAACAGAAAACATGCATCTTTTTGAAATACAAAAGCAGTATGTAACTGATTATGTAATAAAAAGAATTTGTTCTGAAGCCAAATCAAAAAGAGCAGCAACAAAAAGTATGGGGGGGGGGGGGAAACAAACTATTTTAAACTGCACATGCTGCATAGTCATCTAGAAAATCCTGTCAGGTTTTTAGAAGTACCAAACAAAAAGAGATCATCTTTTGCAAGGCTTAGACAGCACTCGGTCCTTTGGTGAATATTAAATTTGCTAACTGTATGCGTGGGAAGACAATGCGGGGGAAGAGAATAAGGGAGAGAGCACATAGGTTTTAATTTTAGCATTTAGCATCCTCCAAACAGATTCTGGTTACTCTATTAAAATGATCTGCATTCCTAAAGTTAGGAGTGACCTTTCTCCCCAGAAGATATTAGAGAGAGGAAGCCTGGCAAGCAATTACAAAGCATTTATCCACACCCCAAGGCAGTAGCCCCTACAGTACCACTCTAACTATAAAATGCATCATCCTTACTACCTCCACAACCTCATGCATTTCGCACTTCAAGATCTGCAATGCAGGCAGCCTGTTTCACTCACCATCTCTCCCTCCTGAGCCTGCAGCCAGTGCTCCTCCCCACGACCATCGCTTCTGCTTCTGCTCCAGCTGCTGGCTGCGTTCAAGGGACCGACGCATCATGGCTTCTAAACGTTCCTAGTTATATTGGTACAAAACCAGAAACCAAAGCTGAATTAGTTGTTTTAGTTTTTTTCCCCCTCCTTCTCAAAGCATGCTAAAAATATACAGTTTCCCTGTTGCTCCATGCACGATGACTGCAGGAGCTTGTTTGCAATAAAAGAAAAAGGACTGAATAAAGAAAGTACCAGCACACCACCTACCTCCAGATATGTGTATTTTTTGTCTGCGAGCCACTGAGGTCACTAGAGAGGCCTAAGTAAATAACACAGGTTGCATCACTGCCTAGCATCTGCTCCTGCTGGTGAGGCTGCTGCTCTGCTCTGGACTCAATTTGTATAAGAATAATGCTCGACAAGCATTAACTCCTTCTTGTCTATGCAGACCTCAGGATTTTTCTCCATCCCTTTCAGAGCACAGCTAAATTGCTGCAATGCCAGTGGCTCCTCCTAGCCACGCAGATAAATGATCACTCCCAACCCAAAGTAGGTTACTTTGAAGGATGGCCAATTTATTTATTTATTTTTACAAAAACTCCCTCCTTTCTTCCACTCTGTTCTTTGAAGTCTAGGCATTTAAGACCTTCTGGGGTCCCCCGCCTTGTGTATTTTTTAGTGCATGCCCAGATCGTGTTATTCTTAGAGATTCTCCCCCCCCATTTTTCTCCAGGGCTCAATGAGTTAGGATTTTCAGATGGGGAAGCAGAAGAAGGGGATTTCCTTCCCTCCCCAAATCCTGCTCTACCTTTAACATACAGCTACGTATGGTCGCCTCATTCCCTCTCCACCACCTCCTAACTCTCACTAAAGGACCTCCACTCGGTTCTGTTCCCACCTCCTTGCTCTGCGAGTTTCTTGGTGGTTTATTGTTCTGACAATGTTCTCTGCACCTTTTCTTTTCCTCCTTTCAAGCAGATCAAACCTGGTTCTTCCCCACTCACCATTCCATCACCTACCGCCCTCTTCCTTTCCTCCTCCGAGTACCTCATTCACATCTGGCAACCCCTTCACCTTCACATTTACTGTGAAAGGTGTCTACTCCTGCTGCCTGCAACTCCTGCCCCAGTGGTTTTTAGCCCTTTGGTCTTCTTACTTACTACCTTTGCTATGTCCTTCTGGTCTAGTACAAAACTCCTAATCTATACACTTCAAACTCCTGATCCTGCAGGTTTCTGTGATTACATCATATCCCCTTCAATTCTATCAATCTTCTGTTCTGTCTCCAATATCTTTTGGTAGCTCAGACCAACTGTGTGGAAAACCTCCCCTGCATCTCTTGGCCAGATAACTTTATCCCACTGATTCATGACTTTGGTCTAGGTTTCCTATTTCCCTTCTCTGCAACATTTTACCACAAAATTTCAGTCTTTGTTCACATATGTTTCCTTCAGTCTCTGCCCTGATGTTGAGCCTGTTGTCTCCAATGGAGCTCCTTCAGCAGATCAGACCCCAACATCAAGCACCTCCAGTAACTATCATGCCTGGAACTTTTATGCACATACCTGTAAACTTCGTGGTACCTTCCTAGGGCTCTGCCTATGATCACTGGCTTTCTACAACCCCAGATGCCCTCTCATCATCTTCTGGTTATCTGCAACATACTTTCGTCTCTTCGACATCGCTGAAGTATCTCTCCTACTGCCATGACTTCCAGTAACTTATTTCTGACCTCATTTTTTCCACCTCATCCAACCCTGCTACCAATTATCCATCAATTTCAACAGTAAGCCACTACACCTTTTTGTATTTAAGCTCTCTCCTCTTAATTTGATTACAAATCACTTGCACCATAAAGAATTCCATTATATTACCCTCTATGCAAAGAGTGAAAAACAGGTAATTCCTGCATACCCTTTCTACCATTCTCAGCTCTCCTGTTCCTGTTATCTTTTGGCCAGATGACCCCCCTTGCTGTTACAATTTCTGCTGCCACGTCCAGGAAGACGATCTTTCAGACATGTGTTTTGAGCTCTCACTTCAGTTTTGTCTGCCTTCTATGACTTTTGCTCACAGTCTGTCAGTTAACGTCACGCAAAGACCACTGAAGAAAGCAGGCAGCTGCCCCCTGTGTCCCCCCCCCCCCCCCCCCGCCCTTCTGTCTAGCCAGTGCCTTCAGTGTCCAGGCAGGCACGCAAATGCTCTCTCTGCCTCCTCCTTCTTCCTTTTTCTTCCTAAAGAGCAAATGCATGAAAGTATCACAAAGCTCAAGCACAGCCTCTTCTGCAACAGCACAGAAAAAACCCACAGTTTTGAACACCCTATCACTTCTTGTCTGTATTCCAGTCATAAAAAGCAAGCAATCTTCCAGTGTCCATAACCAGAGTCGTTCCCCTCTGGGTTTGCTAGAGTCTGTCTGTCTCCTGTTACTACCTGATCATGCAATTTTCACATTTAAAACCTGTGCGTGCTGGCTTTGCATCTCCAGTTCATACCTTTCACTTTTAACTTCCTGCCTCTCAACATTAATTTCATTGTTTGAGTCCCTCTTCTGTGCTTACTCTTTCTAAACCTCACCTATTTCATCACCAGTTCTTCTCTGCAGTCTATTTCTTTTCATTACCTTCTACTATGCATCTTGCCCCAATATACCTTTCTACTTACACTCTTTACAAAGGAAAATGACCCTCCCATTTCTTTCTCATTAAAGCACATGCTTATACAGAATGTTTCTTTCGTTCCATATCTAATGAATATTATTATACATTAATCCAAAATGATAAGATGAAAGCAGTCACGTTTCAGTTATCTGGGTGATGTATGTTTGCGGGTTTTTTAATGCTGCTTGGAGCAAGGACCAGCAATATTCTGTAGTTTGCAAATCACAGAATACACTTATACCACCTACTATGAAAGTGCTGTTCTAAGAATAAAACACATGATGAAATAGATTAAAAGATTTAAATGATATTTCATACATACTTGAAAGCCCATGCTACCTACAATCTGAGGGTGAAATCTTTAATTACATGATGTGTAGAGGATCATCCATTTTCATTTGCAAAGAGCCTTTCATTAACGCACTATAGAACATAATTACTAAACCTCGTGAAACCCTGCAGATATAGCTTAGATAAAGAACAATATGAAGGCCATTTTTCACAAAGAAACAATAGTTTTTTAAAAACCATTTTAAGTTTGCACAGGACTGAATTTTAAAACTAAAAAGCCAAGTAAAATAATAGGACACATGGAATCACAGCATAAACTGCTCATACATTAATAATTTGGTTTGTGGCAAAAACTAAACAACAAGATCAAGCATTCCTTTACCAGCAAACAATGTGTAAATCCTTTCCTGTCTATGTTATATAGATGAAGTACCTTCTTAAAAACATATCAAACTATCCATGTGATCCTCTTTTGGGAATTCTAACAGCTATAGACAGAGGAAACAATCTCTGCACTAAAGATATCGTGAGCTTCCACAAAAACTATAATGCACAAGCTTTTCCACACAGGTGAAATTAAGAATGGAGTAAAATCATAAAAAGACAGCCATCTACTGCTAGTATCCAAAATATACATGTTACTTTCCAAAATCCATACAGTTATTCATCCAGATTTTCCTCAGACTACACAACAGAACAAACATTTGCACAATCTGAATTAAAAAAACCAAAAACACAAAACAAAAGGACAACCAAACAAATCCCCAAACCAACAGTAAGAATACAAGTAATTTGACTGAAGTACTTTCCTTTTTTCTATGTAAAACACGACACTGATATGAAAATAAGCAAAAAATTTATTTTACAAGTATTCTGACTCAAAATAATTTGTGCAAGAAATTCTGAACAACCTCCCTTCTACCTACAATACAAACATCTAAGAGCCCAAAAAAACCTCTTCCTCTTTATATATTCATCAGCACCGTAGCTAAGTAGCTCACTGGTTCATCATATTATCAGTCGGCTTCATCTTCTGAGTGGCTCTTCCACATGCAAAACAACAGCTCTTTCGCTGCTATTTAAAGAACACATTAAAAAGCAATATGGTATTTTTACATTTAACGACTTCTTCTGAATAGAATTCATTTCTACTCTCAACCTATTACAATTACGGGTGTGTAGAAAGGCACACTTTATTCAGGGTCTGAGCATCAAAGCACAACATGGCACAAATGAAGGCTCTGCGTTAAGGTACACGGAGAGCTGCAGCAGCAAGTAAGGCCAGAGGGGGAGCAGAGGACGGTCAGTGTCATAATAAGGACTAAACTCTTCTCGTGTCCACTGCACAGCAAATTAAGAGACCGCTTGCACACCAATCTCAGTTTGCAGCAAAATTTTTGTATTGTGCAGCTCAGTATATGAACTGCCAAAAGATGTTTGGAAAGCAGTTATTTCCATATATTGTAATTTAAAAAGTAATTAACTTTGAATTATAATATAGTAAGTAATTAACACCAACATCTGGAGAGTTTTTCACTCTCTTGTGTTTAAGTGCATACTTTTTACAAATGTAACGAACAGTGCATGTGCACCAAAACAATCTCTCCAGTGCTGCAGGATATTCTTTTCCATTTAGCAGCTGTTACATCATTCTTTCAAGTCTCAGTGCTGGATTAGATTTGATGCTGTCTAGCAGTAGCAGTTTATTTAAACGTTAGTATACTGGTAGGATCAGTACTAATTTTATCAATTTCCTTCTTAAAAAAATCTGACGGTTTTATTAAAAACAGGTCTTTGCCTAGATGGATGCTATTGGTCTCATCCACACTACTATCCTTGACATGGCTCATACAAGTGATGTTCATACTGTCTTATGGAATACAATAGCAACAGAAGAACACAGCTTCTGCAGAGACTTCCCAATACACTGTGTTCAGCTGGACACTTGTTTGCAAGGTATTTCCAAAGTCACATGTGAAGTTCAAGACAGGGATAGGGAAAAAAAATTCATTTATCAGAATGAGGACCAGTATTGCTTTTATCCAGTCCCAATGTCACTGGCTACTTACTGTTGAAAGCAACTCTAAAAGCTTCTGTTGAACAACATGCTTCTTTTCTCAAGGCTCAGGGACTGCTTTTACTAAAGGAAGCAGGCAGCCTTAAAAGGAATATGGAGGGAAGAGCGGTGCTACTGAAGACCTCGACAGATAAGAAAGGTGCAGTCAATGTAGACAGGATGATTTTCAGACACATTTATTCGGCTCCTGTCTGAGGAATTGGACACACTTCCACTGTGCTCTGCAACAAGCTCTGGCTGTCCCACAGGAGAACTCTGCCAGAACACCTCTATTTCCATTAACACAGGCTTAAAAACCACCATCTCTTATCTGGCACCGTAGAGAGGAAAAAGTATGCAAAATAAATCAAACTTTAGCCACCTCCTCTTTGAGAAGTCCTTTGCATGCAAAACAGCCAAGCAGAGAATGCTGTGATGTAGTAAGCAAACAAGCGCCCCCAGATTGTTAAGTCATTATTTTCTCAAACTTTTACAGATGCAACAACGATATTTTCTAGAGAGAGATTTATATAACCTGTTCCCATACAAATATGCACTACCTTCTGCTGTGTTTAAAAGCAAGGTAAAAAGACTTAAGGAAGATAAAGGACAACCAACAAGGCAGAGAGCAATGAAGAAAATCTCACTACTTGGCACTTCAGATACTTGATCAGAAGGTAAAATGCTGCTCCAGTCCCCACCCAGTGTAAACCAGTGTTAAAAGAAGAAACGCTGAGGACATGCTGCAGTATACTGGCTCACTGGCCAGGGCACAACCCTCCCCTAGGTGTGGCAAATAGAGGTTCAAAGCTTTTCCAGTAAAGCAGGCCTCAAATGTCCAGATTGACTCATGAGCAGTGAGTAACTTGTGATGCTCAGGGAGCTGCAACTTCATCACCATCCTTACTCAGACCTCCACTGCTACTACACATACAGCGTTTGAGGGCCTCATCAGAAGAGCTGGCGAGGGGGAGGATTTGGCAGATCCTTTAGTAGAATTCAAGTGGAATTCGAGAAATGAGGGAACGACAAGTGACCATGAAGGAAAGGCAGGAGGTGGTGGTACCTCCTTTTCTCAATTTCCTTCTTCCCTCATCCTCCCCTGTTCTGTAGATTATTCCCCTCTGTATCCTCCCCTGCTTCAGAGGTTCCTGGATTTTTCCTCCCACCAGGTCTAATCCATCCCCAAAAAAACAAGCACTCTCTCCTGTCCTCCTGCCCACATAGCCTTCCCCCAGGTTCCTCAACCTGGAGGAAGGAAGGAAAGCAAAGGGAAAGGAGCCAGGCCTGAGCCTGCCTTGGCGCCCAATAGGCTTTGGACAGTTTAGGCTTGAAGGACCAGCTCGGCGAACAGAGCTAGGAGTGGTATTCATATTATGACCAAATGCTTGGAGGCAGCAAGCCTTTCTCACCTCTAGAGAAGTCTCCCATCACATGTACATGGTGCTGTGGAGCTTAACAGGCTTGCTCATGCCTGGGAGAAACATCTGTGTGCTCAGCCTCTTCTTACGTCCAGCTCCGGGCAAGTGCAGGAGGCCATTACTGGAGAAGGGGTCCCCACTGAACAGACCTTTGAGTCTGACCTGGTACAGCCTCCCTTATGTCTGACAACCCTGCTCCGGCTTCTCCAGCACAGGCAAACCACGCAAGCAGTTCCTCACTCTTCCTACACACCTCTCCTCCTCCCTGCCCACCTCCTGTGCAAATTTTGAGGACAGGTTTTTGGAAGTTTTTGTACTTGCCACCTTCCCTTACATCCCCCATAACAGGGATCAATTTTGCTTAGCTGCAAAAGGTTATCACAGCGGGAAATACTGGAAAGGAGCACATCAGGTCAATAACGTTACCACAGAAGGAGAGAGATTTCCTTACCCTTTGTTTCTGTTTTTGTCATTTTTCTTAACAAAATCTGAAACAAACTACATGACACAATTTTTTAAAATAAATTCTTGGCTGTTATGCAGAAGCCACAGTCAGTGTGTTACAGCTGAAATAGGAATGGCAGGATATAATTTTCTCTTCAAGTTAAACTGAAAAATGAAACACACAAAAAAAATTAAGTGGGCAGCAGCATGTTATTCCGATCCCATGCAGAAGTGTTTTACCACTTTTGCAAAGATATTTTGATTAAAAGATGGGAGGGAGAAAAACAAAGGAAGGATAACAACTGCAGATTTCTAGAGCTTTTTTTATGTAGGAACCAGAGAAATATCTCCTCTTGGCTTTTTTTTGTTTAAAAAAAACAAAACAAAACAACACTGCCCCCTTTTCCAAAAATCATTAATTCTTTATCAGTTGCAGTAGCAACGCTGGTGTTTCCTGCAGAATGTCATGCAGGGAGACACGCACACTGCATTCAGAGATCTGCATCAGAAGCTGTCTCACTAGAAAAAAAATGAACTTTAAATGATATTAGCCAGCAGAGGAGAAGAGAGAAAGGGTACGAAGATGCTTCAAAAGATATGTGATTAATTCTGTTCCATGCTAGAATTTTAAACCAGACTAGATTCTTCACTGCTTTAAGTAAGAATTTCTGATTTTATGTTACTGAGGAAAACCACAACATTTTCATAAATATTACTGTCCATGAAACTGAACAAAAGAAAACAGTAAGAAAAATCTTGCCAGTTTACAGAAACACTCATCTTTCAAAGCTCCCTTCTGGAAAGCTGGTGCTTTATCGTCTGACAGTCAAAGTCCCAGATATGTGAACATAATAGATGACTATTCCGTGAGATCACACAAAATTCAATGGACAAAAAAAGCTTTGAAAGATGTTTTTGATGTACAAGGACCAGCAGAGCATTCATAGCTGTGGTGGTGTGTGGTTGCAGTTCCTAAAGTAATGCCCACATGTGTTTGGGTCAAAAAAAAAACCCCCAAAACAAAAGAAAACAAAACAAAACAAAAACACCCGCAAACAAACCAGAAATCAACATTTAATGCATGTCAATATTCAGCTATGTTTAACGCTACCGTACAGAGTTGCTCGGCTGTACATTTCCCAGTGGGCCTTACCTCCTCCTCTTTAAGCTTTTGTCTCCGTTTTTCTTCAACAGCTGCTCTCTTCTGCTCCTCTCTCTGCCTCTGTTCCTCCAGTCTTCTCCATCGTTCCTCCACTTGCTTTTCATATTGAAGTTTTGCTCTTCTCTCCTTCTCCAGTATCTGCTGTTCCCTAGCAGCTTACATAGAGAAAAAGTTGCATTTCACTTTACACAAATTTTCTTCTGCTTTAAAATTATTTGATACAATGACACACTAGAGTAAAACAACAAATACAAGTACACAGGGTTTTAGTCCACTAAGATAAAAAACACAGTGCACAGAAGTGCTGGAATTCTTAGCAAATCTAAATGATTCGCTCAATAAATAAATAGGGAAGCCCTTTGTACACAAGGTGACAGTTTATGCCCCCTACCTGTGTAAAAACAGTGTACAGATTAATTAACTACTCTTTTTTGTTTATGTTTCAAATCCCTCTGTATCTTAGAGCCAAATCCTTTTTTTCAGACATAACAAATGTTCCCAGTAGGTTTTTAAGTGAATCAGCTATACACATTGAAGCAAAATCCCATGAAAGTTCTTTAAAACTATACTTCTCATTATAGGGCTGCCTTCAAAATACATGCATGAAAAATAAAACTGTTCATTAAACTTTCTACAGAGCTTTGAAAATACACTACTCTGTTCAGAATTTGGTGCTACATCATTATCCACTTCTGCCTCTCTGCATAAAATGTATTTATTTCTGTTACTGAGAGTTTGCTCAGTTGTTTATTCTGACCAGCATCATAATCATCTTCTTGAGGCATTAGCTTGTTGTTACAGAAATTCAGACTGCAACATGACACACAGGACTGTTGCTTCAGGTTTACATAAGAGAACACGTAGCAGAAGCTAACACAAAGAATCATGAGGAAAAATCCACTTCTCATGCAAGTGTGTTCCATAAAAAGCAGGACAGAGGAGTTCAATAAGCATGCCCACATACACGCAAGTCTGTAATGTCCCATACCAACACACACACAAGCAATATCAAAGAAGGAATATTCTCAACATTGTTAGGCTGAGAACTTGAAAATGAGGGAAAGCCAGAATTAACACTGCTTATACAAGAGCTAGTCCTTCATCCTGCTCACCTGTTCAGCATCAGTCTGTTTTTTCAGCTGCTGTTTCCTTGCCCAGCAAACTTTCACCCTCCAAACTCAGTGTCTTCCCATCAGTGCTAGACTCTTGCTCAGCCACCTAAACTGCCTCTTCTCAGATCAGCCTTTTTCCCCTCAGCTCTTTACCCGCAGGCTCTCTAACCACAGCCGTGGCCTTCAGTCCCTTCTAGCCCCTCTCCTTCCCCAAGTCCCTGGTTGAAAGCCAGTCTCCCCAACACTAGATCCTCTTCCAGCAGTTGCATTTCTTTCCCTTGAATACTTGATCCTTGTAAGATACTTCTTCCTCACATCCAACCCACTTTACAGAACACCTTCTACCTTCTTCTTTTTAAAAATACAGTTGATAATGTCTTCCCCTTCTGGCTTACTAGAAATCACTGTTTTTACCCCTCCTGTAGGACAGAGCAGTATGAGAGGGGTCAGTGCTGCAGGTGAGCTTGGACTCATAAGCATGAAGAATCAGACTTGTCAACAGATAGTTACAGACAGTGGAAGAGAAGTGACCAGGCGCTAACTGTTACTGACTACAAGTCATGACAAGTAGAACAGGTGAAAACAGCATGCTGGAGTTGATCACAACCAAAAATAAAGTGAGGTGTCCAGGGACTGTGCCAAGATTACGTTCTGAGTAAGCAGGTGAAACTACAGGTGAAACCTGGGACTGATTGTAGACAGAGAAGCAAACCATTCTGTCATCATGGACATATATACAATTCTTGTTCCTAAACTTCGGGATACTAAACCACTGATTAACAAGTTTTGGCTTTGATGAGAAGGTTATTCTATATTGCTGCAAAGTACCTGCTGGCTGCATAAAGATTTGTCCTTCTGGGAAACTCACTGCTTTTTTCTGTACTTCTGAAAGAAACTTGCTGCAGACAAACAGCTGCTGTGGTCAAAACCCAGAGCTACCCACTCTAGAAATGGCCTTAATCCTAAAAAAAGTACGTTTCCAGAAGCCACATGACATCTGGAGACAGGAACTGTACCCAACACCTTTCAAATCCTCTGGGCAAACCACCCCCAGATTCTCCAGCTTTAGTTTCCCACTCATCTCCTCTTCTGCTTTTTAATCCAAGTCCTTTTCAATCTACCCATCATGCAGCCAGCAAAAAAGGGGATAATCAAGAGGACAGAAGAGATAGTCTGGACTGAGTATACCTGGAAGAGATGTAAGCTACAACACAGGCTGGTGCATGTGCCACACAGACAGAACCTCTGGGGAGACTAAGTACTAAACATCAGCACATTTTCACAGGAACTACCAAAAGAATCTGGCTCACCAAGCCCACGACATTAGAAAATGTCAAGTCACTGTTCTCAAGCCTCAGGTTTTATTTAGAAACAGTCAGTTTGTTTACTTACTGCAAGATAAACAGTATTTTCCTATGATTCTTTTCACAGGTGTCCATACTGTTTTGGTTGACACTTCCTCAAAATATAAGCCTAGCTTAAATTTTACAAAATCATAAACTACTGCCAATTCCCTCCAATGGGTATTGTCAGGTAACCTTAAGGAACAGGGCTACTCACCTTTCTTGTTATTACAAAGAAGAGTGAAATTAATTGTTCAACTTTTTAAAAAAAAATATATAAAGTCTGAAACAATGTTGAACAGTTAATTTCATTCATATATGTGAAATTAACTGTGCACACCCCTCCATATACAAATTTTAAAATATATATTTATATACATATAAAAATTTTGCAATTTCCTCAATATTTCCCTGGACGTATTAGTAGATTAAAAACAACTGACTATTTAAAAACCTCTGAAATCAATGCTTACGTTATTCAGGAAATGAATTAACAATTTCTTGTGAAAGATTAACCATTTAAAAACTTGCTTTATGTTGTACTTAAGAACTCCATGATTTCTTTTAATACAGCTAAAACCTAATAGGCTAAAACTGAGGCTGTGTCACCGAATCATCCTACATATTATCCTGAGTATTATTCAAGGCTTATGTGGTATTTTTAGAAATCAGAATCCTAACAGTCACTATCTTGCACATAAACATATTCAAAAGTACATAAATCAAAGAAAATGTACTTGTAACTAGAGAATATTAAATACTTGAATTATTATTTTTTATAATTTAATTTAAAAGTAGTAATATAAGCAATAAAGACTAGGAACAGACTGAACCACAATGTTTAAAATTCAGATCAGAAAAAATGTCATGTTAGTAACTTAAGCCTACTAACACGTACACATAAATAATACATACACCTCTTGCCATCTTACCAAGGTATTTCTCCCTTTCTTCTCTTCTCTCCTTTGCCAGTCTTTGTCTTTCATCAGTTTTTAGAAATCCATCAATGGCTGAAGTCACAGAGAGGGGAAAAAAAAGTGTTAAAAAAGTGATAAAACCAAAGAGGCATCCAAAAGAACTAAAAAAAAATCCATTTGAAAAATCGTATCTACTGCATTTAAAAATCTCCAACAACAAAACAATTTTGCACTTGTGTGCTGGTGGGTCAATAAGCCGGGATTTGGGTACATATTGAGCACAGTCTCCTACCTACTGCCGAACTCCAAGCACAGTTTCTTAGCTTAAATGCCTGACTCTTCTTCTCAGAGCAAACAAGCATGCTTGTTTTAAAACCTTAAAATTTCTTGGGCAAAACCATAAGGCTGCAATTAACATGTACTCATCTTTGTTAACAACCTCATTTTAACTTTTTTGGCTAAAAAAGAAAAAGGTCGTTCAGGAAAGCAGTAAAGGCGGTACGCAGCTCTCAGTCTAATGCTACGTGGTGTCCCAGCCTTCATATTTATGGCTTAACACAGCCCCACAGCTTCCTTGCCCACCGGAAACCACGAGCACCAGCTCATTTCAACAACCTGCAATTAGCACTGGATGAGGCTACGGAGGCAGCAGCCCTCCTGCCCTCTTTTCCAGGTAGGAAACACTTTGTTTCCTCCTCGAGTTGGTATCTGAAAGCAGGTTACTTGTTTGGGAGGAGGTTGCCTAAGGCTGTTTTGTACCTGGATCCAGACAACCCAGTTCTTTGCACAGCATGAGCAACCGAAAAGCCTAATTTCAGGCGGCAGGCAGGCAGAGAGAGACACACGAGGTCCCTCGGGGTCACCTGCCTGCATGCGTGCCCTGGAAGGAGCAGCCAGACCTTAGATGGACCTTCTGCAATACCACGGGTAAGCTCACCAGCTAGTGACTTGACAGACCAGCTACAGAATGGTATCCTTTTAAAACAGCTAACCCGGCTGCCAGTGCCCTCCTCTCTCTCTTTGTTTTCAGGATCTCCCAGGGTCTTAGCAGGGCTGCAGTGCAAACAGGCACAGTGTCTCACAGCACAGTTTACATCCTTTGCAATCATTATTTGGGCTCCCTGCTGAGTTACTGAATCATAATGAAGTCCCCTTTTGCTCCAAGAACCGCAGTTGTTAATTTTGTCAGATATACATGAGTGAAAAAGTTACTTAGACTGTAACCCCGATTCTCCTCCTGAAGAGTCACACTTGCAGGCTGCTGTCCGAGGGCATCCTGTCCATGGGAGCAAAGGTTTTGCATAGCAAGTGCCTTTCTGTAAAATGCACAGCTCTGTAGGAAGGCTGAAAACCAGCCTCAGTGGTCCCTTGGGACAGGTGAAAAACTACGGTCTCAGCTGTCCCCCATTAGAATAACAGCTTGCTTTTTCCCCAGGCAGCACCTTCAAACACCATCTCCAGTTTGCCTCTGCACACACAGACAGCGACTACCTGACAGCAGCCAGGCCTCTGGAAAACTGGAGCGATTATAGCTCCCAGATGGTTACTTACAACTAGAATTTGTGGGTCAAATACATATCTATTACTGAAGACTCATTCTACTTCCATACTGGTCCGCTTCTTTGTTTGCTTAGCTGACATTTATTGTCGGATTTGACAAGCAGGGAGAAGAGGCGGCAGTGCCGTAAAGCAACCATAGCCATGGTTTGCAACTACTTTGAAGGGGCCTGCAATAAGTAGCCAACAAGGGGAATCCTGTTGCCAGCATAGTTAAATTACAGCTCCAATGGAAAGTTTTTCAGTGATCTGAACGTCAGAACAGCGTGAAACCTACAATTTAGGCTAGAAGCAGCAGAGGAGGTGAAAACAAGACTGGATCAAGCGCCCAAGGAGGAAAGACTGAGCCTGGGAGCAAGCAGAGCCTGGAGAAAAGGAAGAGGCAAGCAGAGGCAGAAGCTAAGGTCTTCTGTGGCAAGGGATATAACTCGGATGGAGACGTAGAAGCTGAAGTATGGAAACCAGGATGGGGATAAACTGGAGGGATGGGGAGAGAAACAGCAAGACAGTCCATGCCCATGGATTACGTTCACAAAATCCTGCACTGATTCTCATCACTCTCCTGCTTTCAGCACCTATTTATGAAACCCACTGGCAAAAATATGCCCCATTATGCTTGTCAGTAAATCACAGCAAACTTCTCTCTACCTTGATTGCTTCATGAGTGCAACTGACAGAAGTCGATCTAAAAGCTCTGGCCTAGGTCGCAACTGCCATAGCTATCCCCAAATTGGTGCACAATTTTTCAGGTCGGCTTTCTCAAGACTTTCGATGCCTCAACCCCACCCAGGTAACATGAAAAGCAGATCAAGGCTGTAATGCCAGATACTTAAGAAATGAGGATGTATCAGAATTGAAGCAGTCTGTACAATTCTTATTTTGCCTCCTTTCACATATATATTATGCATTTTTTTTTCCTTTTAGGTCTCTTTGCTTATTCAATGCACAGGATGAACCTCCTCAAAAGGCAACCCAAGTTCAAAGTGATGACTGCTTCTTGCTTCATTTCTTTCTGAAACTGGAAAGTAGACAGAACTATAATCTGAAGTCTGTCTCGGAGAACAGCACTCCAGACTTGGTTACGTCACAGGTGAAACAACAAATACATGGAATCGCTGCTCATTACATGTGCAGCACATCGATGTGCATAAAACTGTGTGGAGGAAAACAGTAGACAATCTAATAAGTTCAGGCATCAAATGCACATTCATGCAGCAAGGGTAGCATTAAAACACCAAAGGCATCCTCAGTGTTAGCATTTCTTAACTCAAGCACTTGACTTCCCAAATCCGCATGCCCGCCAAAAATCAGAAATTTGCTTGCCTTCAGAGAGTAAATATAGCTTTGAAGGACAGAATAACTATTCTCTGGGTAATAATTTCTACCTTGGGATGATTTTGTAAGGCTTAAATTAGCATATTTGCTGCACATCTTCATATAATATACATTATAAACGTAATGGGCACAACAGTTACCTGTGACGAGAAATTTGATTAGTGAAAGAAATTCAGATTCTGTTTGGTAAAGCAGACTGCAAACCACAAGCCAGCACAGGCAACTCTACCAGGAAAATAACGCAAAGCCACCCCTGCTTCGCGACATGAGCTACCAGCAGAGGGCAGGACAAGGTTTCCATGAAATAGAAAACCCCACAGCAAAAAAGCTTTCACGGTGGTAAGCGACCTCAGGTTAGTATTCTGTACACTCAGCTTTACCCTGAGCCTTCCTCATATTTGCAGCTAAGCCTCTGATCCCTCGGTTAGAAAGGCGTATAGCACTAAACGAAAGGTTTAAGAGCCAGGACATAAATGCAGGTTACTTGCGTCTTCTGCCAAGCAGAGTAATGAACACAAAGAGACACTGACAGAAAATTCTCTAATAATCCTTTATTCACAGACTTGCAGAAGAATAAGGAAACTGTCCAAGTAACAACATCAAAGATTTTCCTGTGAGAAAACACACACAAACTGCTGCTACTTCAACTCCATCTCCCAGCCCTTCCCAAAAGCCCCTTTTCCAGAGTCCCCGCTCTCAAAGGCATGTGTCTAACCACTGCGCTAATTCCTTGAGATTGTGCCTCATTTTTTGACTGAAGAAGGCCAGCTGCTCCTCTGGGACTTTGTTACAACAAGCATTTCTAAAGAAAAAGAGCGTAACTTAAAAGCGGTTAAAATGTCAGCAGCAGTCCCACAGCAGTAATTTACCAGCTAATGCTGCAGGACTCTTTCGATACTTTAATGCCACTTTGAAATCAATATCCACAGAAGTAAAAACTGACATATCGATTGTTGCCTCATTTTGATGGGCAATGTATACCTATTCAGGCTGATTAAACAGTGCCAGAACACGTCCACACACACTCTGCTCCAGATACCGCTTGCGTAAGCCTCTTGACGGTTGCCCAACAAAGAGAGGAAGGTTGTCATGTCCTGATGAGACTCACGGTAAGCTCCGTCTTTTGAAATCCATATCCTGCTTCTGGTTGAGAAAATGACTACTCAAGCAGGACAATCAGGTTATTGGACCCTAAGAGTACATTTCGGAAGGATCAACCGGCTGCTCGGACACCTCCTCTCCTGAAATTTGTACCTGAGTAACCATAACCACCAGCAGGTAGGGCCTCCATTCACAGTGGGTTTTTTCTACTTTGTTGTCAAACCCATGTACACTTCTGTCCTCTATAATACCCCACAGTGTTTAGTTTCACAACGTATTTGTATACAGCAGTCAGCCAAGCCCTTGATAGCAGGCATCCAACACAGAAGGAAAGTCAGCTGGGGATGTGAGGCCAGCTCTACAGAAGTGTTCAGCATACCTAGACCTTTGGCCGTCCTACATGACCACATTGAACACATTTAGGCCTTTGCGCACTCTACATGACACTGTCCAATTTATCTAGACCTTTGCCACAGTATGTGTCATCTACACTGACGTTGCTGCCCTGCTGAAATTCCCGGTTTGGATGCAGTTCTGCCAATGGGTGACCTTGCCAAGGATGTGGCGAGGTGGCCTACAGAGCAGAGCAGACCAGGAATACCACTGCACTTACACCTACTGTTCTGTAGTAAACTCCACTGTTTCAATAACATTATCTCAACTTACAAAATCAAGGGTTTGCTCCCTAAGAACAGACTTTTCCAGCTGCCACTGACTCCCTCTGGGTACTACTGAATGAATAAATGTTATATTCTTCCAGTTTTCAGTGACTGACTACACTCTGAGGGGAAAAAAAGGTATAAAAGTCCATGTGACTGGACCTGGATGACACTTTCTATTGGCAAAAGGCACTTTTTCTAAATTTTAATTATGGTATACTGCTACGAGGCTTTCAGGCAGAGTCAACATGCAAACACCACAAGCACTATGCAGTTATGTTCAACAAGATTTTGTGGATCGCCCTCTTTTTTAATAATTGTCTTTTCATTAGTTTTATTTACTTAAAAAAGCTGTTCATTGTATAGCAATCAAAAACCTAAATACAAAGAAACAGAATTTTTCCAGTTTCAGCTACTTAATTTTATGTTTGTGTTTGCCAGGCTGCACTTCAGTTATAACCCAAAAAGAAAAAACGGTCATTTTCCATTATGCCTAATTAAAATACCAGGATGGGTATATAAAGGTGTTAAGTAGATGGAAGTCATTAAAGGCAGACTCAGCTGCCAAACACAGTGACATTTCAGATATCCCAGGCTAATTGTCTGAGGGGGGCCCTGGCAGATAGGACAGAGAAGCTGTCAGGGACCTGCACGCTCTAGTTAAACAGCTAGGACACAAAGTGTCGCTAGGTACCTGCCTTATGTTCCTGATCCCCAGCCTGAATTTTCAAATTATCTGTTTGAATCAAGAACTTCAGCTATACACCATACTTACACAAAGATTACAGTAGGAAAATATATCCTACCGGTATGTTTATTCAAGTTTAAGGTAAAATCACTTCAAAGTGCTGGCCAAATAACTTTAAAATGATACATACAGTATATGTATAGGCCATTTGGTGATCATGTATAATAACAAAAATATCCTACTGTATGGGAAGGGAAAACTTGCTAAAATAAAAAACGCAGATCTCTTCAGTTCTGCATGAGCCCACAGACACCTAATCAGCTCCCCAGGATTGCATGTTTTATGTATAAACAGTGTGCACAGCCATAACAGTGCCCCACAGAGACTCCAGGATCATGCAGGCACAGCAGATACACCTCAAAAGCACTCGGAGAACTGATAAGATATTAGCAGAATGTTTTTACTACAAATACATTAGATAAATAATAACACTAATTAGTAATTTAGTTTACTGAGCAGATCCCTATGAGACAGCCCACCACACAGTAAACACAGCGCAGCAGCACGATGTCAATGTGTGTTCTACATTGCTGTTTTATTTGTGGGCTTCTGTAATCTCTCAGGCAGAAAGGAGTGTGGAGGCTCAGCCAGAGCCTGCCAGTCTCATTCTCCCAGATTTAACGCACACAAACATTCACAGCTGTATTTTTCAACCTACACCAGACCCCACACCCATCTGGAATCCGTAGGTAGGATCTTCCTCCCCTTCCTGCCTGTCCCTTCAGCTTCTAACTGCAGGTAATTACAAAAATTGCGCAAAAAGGGAGGTGAATTATGGAGATTCAGCCATAATTTAACCATGTGGGGGTTTTTTTGAACTTCAGTTTCTTTAGAATAAACCCTGCATCACTCATGTTTATGAAGACAGAGAGTTAAATATATAATTTCTAAGTTCAGCAGTTACTTTAAAAACTCTGTATTCCTACCTTTGTCAATACAGACCCCAATTAATGCTCTCAACTTTATGATAATTTAATAATTTTGCCTTCAAAAAGAAGTTTGTACGTATGTGAATGCATGTTATGCATGAAGAGAACTTATATTCCAGTAGATACAAAAATTTTCACCTTAAATCCTGTGTTCTGTAATCTTTTATTATTTTTTAATAGCAATTTTCATAGCAGATGGTGATATAGTTGAACACATGAATTCCATTTCATGACTATTTTCGTATTTATTGTATGACTGCAGTGAACCTGAAAACACCTTTAGCAACTTCACATGAATCTTAAATGAAAAACTATTCTCAGGCACTTTTAGAAGTAGTGTAATTTCTCTGAAAAAGTTTATCTTTGCAGCATACATGCAAACACACACATGCTGAATTAACTATGAAATGGTGGACATGGATGTCAGATTTTATATGCTGCAGAATGAAGACTGTGCAAAGACGCCTACAGATGGTAAGCAGGGATAAAGGACAGACCTGCCTCTCCATCCCACTCCAAGGGAGTATATTATACTCCCTTTCTCTACACTAATAACACCTTCCAGGACTCTTCATTCCCAAGGGGGAGGGAGAAAGGAGACAAAAAAGAAGGGGGTTTCCTTTTGCTTATTATACATCTCTCATCCAGCAATTAGTTACCAATGGGATTATTCTTCTGCTACAAGAAAATGGACAACTATTGTTAAGTCTCATATAAAATTTTAATACAAGCGTTCATACATGTAAACATTATGTCCAGAGCCTCAGCTAACAGTTCTTGAGTGCTCTAATACTAGCTTCAAAGTAGCTACTGCTCTAGTAGCCATTGATCAAAGTGGGCACAACCCTACCACCGGCTCCAAAGCAACCTGGCAGGTAGGGACACAACCAGAGATATTCATGCCCCACTCCTGCTCTCGCTGAAGTCCCAAGCGTTTTATCTTTGCAGAATATCAGCAGAAGCAGAATTTAGCATCAAGATAGTTATATAAAAAAGTCAAGAGTTGATCAAGAATCCTGAAATTGGATGAAAGGAGAAGAAAAGTAGCAAAAAAAGAAGCCCGAAGATTCTCATTTATTTATAACTGCTGTTACCAAAACATCTAGTAATTTTTCTAATTGCAACTGATTTGAGTTATACATTTGCAGTACAATCTAAGTCTATGAACAATCTCCAGAGCTGTTTTATAAAAAAAAAACAACCCCGACATTGCACAACATTAGAATCACAATTATAAATGATGTTTAAGACTTATCCTTTAAAATAGTCTAAGCAGGGCTTTTTGGGGGCCTAGGGTTTTTTTTTCAGTGGTTGAGAAGGTTTTGGAAGGGTTAGGGTTTGGGGGTTTTGTTTTGGTTTTCAGAGTTTTTTTGCCCCCCCCACAACTTGCTTTAAAAAAAAATTTCTAGTAAACATAGTCTCAGTGTAAAAGATAATCAAATTTGAAGATGCACTTAAGATGTAGGAAAATTATGTTTTTTAAAATTGATCCAGTCACAACTTATATTATCAGAAAAAGCCCTCAAGAATATTAACCAAAAACAACAACATAGCCCTTTCCCCCTCAGCTACCTAACTACACAAGATTTATAATGAGGGATGGAACAAGAGAGGAGTGTAATCCAAAAGGAATTCATGCATTCATGACACTGTCTTGATAACGGATTCATCCTACACACACACACTGGGGGGGGGGGAGGAATCAAATCAGCAACTTAATGGAAGGAAAGACTATGCATTCTGGAATGAATAAAAAAGAGAAATAAACAAAAACAAACACTGCTTCTAACTCACAATTAATGCTTTGAAACTAAATGGAAGCAGGGATCACCAAGGAATAACTGCAGGCACCAGCTGGAAATTATATACTAAAATAACAAGCAAACCCCAAAACCTATAAACACTACAAATGAGACATTTTTTTTCACTACAGATTTTTTTCTTCTTTCATTCACTCACTGCATATCTCCTGAATTAGCCATTGTCCCAACATGTATTTAGGATTTATGCAATTACTAACTTGCACAGACACGTTTCACTGACTTCAGCAGAACAACTTTATAAAAACAGAAAAGACAGAAATATCTTCTAAGGATTAGGAAACCCTTGCATGCCGTGCCCAAGTCTGAAAAGATGTCCCATCACTCACATACTCTCATAATAAATGGAAAATGCATTTGCTAGAAGGATACTTCCTATAAAGACTGTAAACACTGCTTGCCTAGTTCACTTCATCTCATGTCCTTTGCAAGAAAAAGCCTCGCTGTAAGACAGTAAGCCTCAAGTCATAGTTATTCTGCCCAAATTATCTAAGGGAAATGTTTTAGGATCCTATACATTCGTTTCTCCATCCCAGTGAATTCAACCTGAACAACCTCATTTCAGGAACACTCCTATCAAAATGAAAGAAATTAAATTTCTTTATAACAATTTCATCTCCAAAATGAACTAGGAAAAAAGCTTTCCTTCTATAACGTAGTCTAGCACACTTCAATTCCTCATTAAAAT